GTAAGTGTGGAAGAAGAAGAAGAAGAAGAAGGAGGTGTTAACTGTGTTTCTCTGACAGCACAGTGAAAATGTTTATTATAAAAGTGTTGTGTTTGTTTTTTTTCCGGCAGGGTCCCAGCCTCGCTCTCAGGGATGACAGGCAGCGAGTTTGGCCAGATAACCTTTGTGTTTGAGACGATCTGCTCGGCCGACTGTGAGCTCTACTTCATGACGGTGTGTTGATTTTTGCATGTTTGGAGTAATTAGGTGACAAATATTTCAAAAAGAGGAGAAGCTGTGGTCTAAAATTTCTGTCTAGTAGTCCAACCCTGTCTGTTTCACTCTATCGCCCCCTGCAGGATGTGAACAGGAAGAGCACCACAGTGGTGGAGTCCTGGGAGGGCAGTAAGGGGAAACAGTCGTACTCTCACAGCATGACCAGAACGCCTCTGTCACATACACGTGGGCCTTTCAGAGGACTAACCACGCCCTGGATGTAAGTAAACACGATGAATCCAATCTTTAAAAACATACATTAAGTCATTAACACTGTCTGTTCACAGGTGCGTCGTTATGTGAGCGACATGGTGAAGCTGTACTCCATCACCGTCACAAACGTCCTGGACGGCGTGGCGTCATCGTGCCGGGCCTGCGCTCTGATCTCTCAGAACTCCCAGCAGGCCGGCTCGTCCTGCGTTCCCTGCCCTGCTGGTTTCTACATCCACAGAGAAACCAACCGGTGTCAGGAGTGTCCGCCAAACACGCACCTGGCAGGACGCCACACCTACGGCCAGGACGCGTGTGTCGCCTGTGGACCGGGAAGTATCAGCAACAAGGTGAGAGGACCTCCCCCATTTTTTTTCTCTCCTGCATATATCATTTTTCTTCAGTATTATAAAGTATTGTCCTTTGTACATCTTCTTTGTTATTTATTCAGAGTTCATGTTTTTGTTCTTCTTTCAGGAACACTCTCGTTGCTATAGCGACTGCTCCTTCTCACACACAGAGAACAACCGGACGCTGACCTTTGACCTTAGCCCCCTGCGTGACGTGGCCTCTGTGATCATTGGGCCGAGTTTCACCTCTAAAGGGACCAAATACCTTCACCTCTTCAACATCAGCCTGTGTGGCCATGAGGTGAGTCACACGTACTTCATATTGTAACATCTGTAGAAACAGTATACTCTTTAAAGAGGTCATATTCTGCCCTTTTTGGGGTTCATATATTTAATCTATGTACCTACTAAAGTATGTAAAGGCTCTGAAGTGCCCACGTTCAGAGTCCCCACGTGTGCCAAGTCTGATCTGATTGGACGGCCTTAATGGGCATACAACATGAGCTGCTGGGCTTGCCACAACGAGCCAATGGGCTTAGATCAGTGATCTCACACTGACAAGACATCACACTGACAAATTTTTATCGAGGGGGGCTAGAACCGAGCGTTACATGCAGCTAATGCTACAGCTAACAGGAGGACATAGGAGAAGCTGTGTTTCCGCAGACTTTGAATTTTTGCATGCAACATGCACAGGACACTTGGAAAACACACTAAAGGGCATATAAAACCAGAAAAAGCAGAATATGGGACCTTTAAAATCACATTTAATGCATACAAAACCATGTTTCTAAACCTTTGAATAGATATTTTCTTTAAAAATGTATCTCTAGTTTTTTCAAATATTTCAGGGAACATTACTAAAATTTCTAGAGATTTTTTCTGAAAATTACTGGGCGCATTTCTGAAGTTAGAAATGAAGAAAAATTATTTAGAATTCGCAGGAAAATTCCTGTAAAAGTTGTGAAAAATTCCTTAGTAACTTCCCAGAAAAATTCCTGAAAAAAATCCAGACTGCAATGTTTCTGAAATTCAAGAAAAATTCCCAGGAAAGATTCTGAATTATTTTTTTGTTTCTGAAAATTCCCACAATAATTCCTGGTTTCTTAAAAATCCACATGGAAATTTACAAAAAATACCATGAAAAGATCCCTTAAATTTCAGGTAAAAATTCCAAAACCCAGATAAATTCCTGAAAATGCCAGGGAAAGATTCCTAGGAAAATCCCTGAAAAAGATCCTGAAATTTCTGGGGAAATTTTTGTGAAATTCCAGAGGATGTTCCTGTGACAGTTTGGAGGGAAAAAACCTGTGAGAATGTTCAAAATTTGTGAGGAAATTTCTCTGTAAAGTCACTTCAAATTCCAAATATTCTTGGGAAAATTCCCAGGAGAATTTCCAGAAAGTTCCAGGGTAAATGTGTTGGATTGAAGGTGTTGTGAAGTGACAGATAATTTGCATGTGTTGCTGCAGGGGAATCGAGCTGCTGTCTGCACAGATAACGTCACCGACGTGGCCAACAAGGACGATCAGAGCGACTCGGCTCGATTCGTCACCTTGGTTGACAGTTTCATCTGTCAATCAACAATCATCCCAGCGGATGGGCGGGGCTTCAGGATGGCCATTTCCTCCCAGTCCATCAGCCTTGCAGAAACGTTCATTGGTAAGATTCTTGTTCAACAGCAGCTCGCGTCTCTCTGACCATTAGCCGCTAACGTTTGTTTTTTTTTCCCGTTTCCAGGGGCGACAGTGGACACTGTGCTGGACGGTGTGAACGCCAAACCAGATTTCTTCCCTGAAAGCTTAAAGGACGTTCCAGACATCAACTTCTTCTACAGGTACAACATGAAAGACAGAGTGTGTGTGAGTTTTGTCGTACTTAAACCTTGACCGTGACCGTTTCTCTTTTCTTTTAAGGTCAAAGCAGCCGACAGCCTCGTGTGATCAGGGTCGCAGCTCAGTCATCACTGTGCGCTGTAACCCCGAGAAGTCTGAACGAGGAGAAGTCTCTGTGCCCAGGTTGGTGATACTAGATGTTTAATTTTTACGGCCATGCACAACTAGAATGTTACTGGTTATTCATTTGTTGGAATGGAGAGCGATAGAGAGTGTGAACATGTTACAACCAATTTCATAAAAATAATGAAAATATACACCGGGTTTCAAAGATGTCAAGAGAAGGTAAAAATAAAATGTAAAGGAAACTTTATAAGAAACATAATCTGTGAGATGATGGGTTTGTTTCTGTTGCAGCTCCTGTCCTGCAGGAACATGTGATGGATGCACATTTCACTTCCTGTGGGAGAGCGCGAGCGCCTGTCCACGCTGCTCTGAGGAAGACTACCACAAGATAGAGGGAGCGTGCAAGGGAGGCGCACAGGTAACACACACACACACACACACACACACACACACAGTGAATCAATATGACCAATAAAGTAAAGGCTGTGTGAATTCTCTGTCTTTCTTTCTTTCTTCTAGGAAACTCTGTATGTGTGGAATGAGCCCAGGCTGTGCACCAAAGGCGTCTCCTTACCCTCCAGAAGCTCGTCTCCGTGTGAGGCCGTCGCTCTGTGGCTGAAGGTCGGGGTCGGCGGCGGAGCCTTCGTGGCCGTGCTGCTCATCTCTCTCACCTGCTATTTCTGGAAGAAAAACAAGAGGTCAGAGACGCCTGCTTATCTGACACTGCAAACTATCTCAGGCAGGGCCAACGTGCTCATTAGGATCAGCTTGAGGTGTTATTAAAGGTGGAGACATCAGCTTTTGTTTGTGTGTGGAAGCAGAGACTAAAGAAGGACACCATGGGTATATTGTTCTTTACTAGAGATTGTTTGTTTGTTTGTTTTTTTGGTGTTCACGTCATTCAAACCAGAAAAAGTCCTCAGTCTTAAAACTGAAGTTAACCTAGATACGTTTCTAATTTTCTAAATCACTGAAGAAATAAAAAGAATTCCACAAGTCATGAAACTTTAAGAAGACACAATTTTCTGCAACAGAATTACTCTTTTGTTCTTCTTCTTTTTCTGCTGTTGTGATGAACTAACATTCAACAGGAGACGTCATGAATGTGGTCACAGCATGTCGGTTCAAAAAAAATTGGTATTTGCTGCACGTTGGACGTTGTCGTGTCATGATGTATCTGCGTCTGTGGTTTGTGTGTTCAGGCTGGAATACAAGTACTCTCGTCTGGTGATGTCTGCCAACAAAGAGTGTGAGCTGCCGGCTGCAGACAGCTGTGCTCTGGCTGAGGGGGAGGAGCCTGAAGACGACGTGGTTTACACCCAGAAACCCTCGCTGCTGGGGAAACTGCGGGCCATCGCTAACAAGATGTGTGTGACTGATGGCAATTTGATCCGAACTCAACAGCAGCGTTAATTCTAACAAAAAGGCTAACATTAACAAACACTTTACATTCAATATTAGGCAACGTAGAAGTTAATGACCTGTCCTCTCAAACGTAATGGCTGTCCATAGCGAGCCTGACGAGCAGAACGTTTTTGATCAGACACACGTGTCAGGAGATGACTACAGGGAATGTCTGTGCCAAATGTTTTCAATAATTGTTGAGATTTTAAGTCAGAAAACAAAATGATGGACCAGGAAACACTTCTTCAGGTGTCTCCAACTGTCAAATGTACGTTTTTTTTTTTTGTGTAGTGAAACATCTGCCGATCCACAACTCTTTCAGCACGGGGATGGGGATAGCAGCGAGACCGTGCCGCTGAACTCCTCTCAGTCCGATCGATGGATGCTCAGATGAACACATACTAACAGAGAGAGAGAGACGGTTAAATTAATGAGGAGAAGTCGGTGAAGTAGGAGCAGTGAATAGCTGTAATAAGCAGATTAAGTCATAAAATCTGTATTTTCAGTCCTGTTTTTACTTTCTTGCATGAGTAACTGAAAATGTGATGATAAAATTGTAGAAACAACTTTTTTCCAATCTGAGAAAAAAATAATTTCAACTACTTTTAATTGATTTTTTTTCAAAGTGTGGTTTATGTCCTTTTACTTTTGATTAAAAGAATATTTCCTCTTATCATACTTTCTGAGTTTCTGTGGGAATTTGTATTCTGGACTTTTTAGTTGCAGTACCGCAGTTTGACCACTGGGGGGGAAAACAACCAGCAGGATCAACGCCCGGTCGGTCCCCTCTCTCTCTCTCTCTTTCCCAGCCCCGGGAGTCACGCCTCCATCCCGGGGTCAGTCCTCCACTGTGCTCCGCCCTCTTTAAGAAGATATCCTCCTCCTCCTGTTCTCCAACCATCGACACAACTTCAAAGCAGACTTCAGTTTGTCGGTTTTGTGTTTTCACACCGGGTGCTGCTTTAAAAAAAGGAAGCAGAACCGGTCGGTATGTGAAACGTCCTGCGGCTGAAACTCGACACGTTACCGGGGAGATGAGCTCCAGGTCATAGCCGACGGTAGGAAACTATCCCCCCTTTTTTTTTTTTTTTTATCCGCATTTCCGAGAGCATGGACATGAAAACAATCACGGCCCGAGTGGTTTGTTCGGATAATCTTGATATTTAACTTGTTTTCTGTTTTCTAAACACGAAAAGTGCAGGATTCGCTCATTTAGTGATGACGCGGCTTCTCTTTGTTGACCGTTATTTACACAAACTTCTGTTAAACAGCTGAAGTTTAGTGACGTCACGTCGAGTCCACAAAGAGTACGTTTCTGTCTTAAAACAACAATAAATATTTAATATGTTCTCCGTTAAATACAAACAAATTGTAATGACATACAAAATGAGGTTTGGACTGATGAACACATCTGACTGTGTTTTTTTATTATTATTATTATTATTTATTTTTTTCCTTTACTTTTATTTCCTCTTTTTTAGTTTTCGTACTGTTTTGCTGTACACTGTTTATGCTTTACTATAAAAGACAATAAAGAGATGGTTTAAAAAAAATACAAACAAATCACTCTTTAATGTGTAATACAGGTAAGATAAGATAATCCTTTATTTATCCCACAATGGGAAATTTACAGTGTTACAGCAGCAAAGATTGCAAACAAAAGTGAACACAGTACAATTTAAATATAAAAATAAAAGTTAAGAATGTACAAGAAAATAGATACTAAAGAATAGATTTAAAAAATAAAAAATAGCTCAGCTATTTGACACAAGTGTAGTCCGTAGTATTCAGTGTAACACAGACATGCACATAAAGTGTAACATGTTATTGTACAAAGTGGTTGATAAACATAATATAACATTATTACTGCACAGAGTCAGAGTGAATTGTCCGGTTGTGTGTGTGTTTTGTGATCTACTGGGGAAATTCAAAAACTGGCCACATCAAACACTTCACTTCATGCGATGTTGTAATGTAATAAGATTTACTGGATGTAGTTGGCAACATCTGCAATTGCTTATTTCCTTAAACATTTGGGAGTCATTTGCCAGTTGTTTGCCTTTTGATTTGAATGACAGTGATGAGGTTTCTCTGCAGAAGTTCATGAAGAGTACAGGGCTGTTTTCTGCTTTCATTTCAGTTTCAACTTGTAGTATAAATAATAACAATACATTTTATTTATAAGCACTTTTACAAGACACTGTACAAATAGTTAAAAACAGAAAGAACAGCACAGTAAGGACAGACTAACAGACATTGCAACATTACACACAAATCATAAAGATAACAACAATAAAGTTAAAAGAAAACAGGAAATACATCCCAATCATACATTAAAAGCTTGTTTGAAGAGATGAGTTTTGATCAGTGATTTGAAAGTAGGAGGGTCGGTGCGTGTTGAATGTGTGTTGGGAGTGAGTTCCAGGGGGGAACTCAGGTTCTGTGATATAGTATATCATTTACATTTAAATGTTATGTGTTACAGGTTACACCACACGAGCTTCCCTAGTTATTCTACTGTCTGTTGAAGTGGTAAGTTTGTCTCCTTGTTGTTGAAGCCTGAGTCATGCACAGCAAAATGTTGACGGATGTTGTGATGTAACAGGAAACGATGAGTTTGATAACAACAGTATGACTTTTATTCTTTATAGCTGCAGAAAACTAACTTTTGTCTACAGGTTAGGGCTGCATCGTATTCAGAAAAAAACTCACATTGCACTTTTATTTTTTTACTGTGAAATGAAAAATACAGAAAATCAAACCAGATAAATACAGTGTGTGTTCTTGATGTATTAGGCCTCCAGTAGTAGAAGTATGATCTGTGAAAAGATAAAATAAACTTTATTGATCCCCCATGGGGGAAATTTTTGCATTACAGCAGCTCACAAAACAGGAAGCAGGAATATAATTATTAAAAATAAAATAGAAGTTAAAAATCAAACATATTACATCAGTTAAATAAAAAAATACAATAATAGAAAATGACACGGTATCTACACTTCCACTTGTGGAAAGAGTAAACATTTTAAGGAATAACTTATACAATATGTTTTCTGATATTTGATAGACCAAACATTAACTCTTTCAATCAAGGAAATGAAAATAATTTATTAGCGCTCTAAGTGTACATAAAGCTGATGTTATACACACAAACATGTTAATACTTTTACAGTAAAATCAGCTCCCATAATTTAAAGCACTTGAGTATTTTAAAGTTTTAAATATAACAGAATACTCAACTTTGATGTAGATGTATTTTTATGTAACTTGAGTAATATTTTATTAATATTGAATTGTGTTTTGTTTTATTTGCAGTGTCTGTAGATTCAGTCATGGCTCGCGGTTGCATCTGCTGTGTGAAATACATGCTCTTCCTCTTCAACCTGCTCTTCTGGGTAATTATTCCACACACCGAATCAGAAAATCTTCTTTTAAATTCAACCCTGATTCACACGTTCAGTCGTCGTTAGCAGATCAAAGTGTCATATCGTGAAATCAGCAGGAAGTTTCTGAGTTTCCTGTGTGTGTTTTCAGCTGGGCGGGTGTGGACTGTTGGGCGTGGGCGTGTGGCTGTCGGTGTCTCAGGGCAGCTTTGCCACCCTGTCGCCCTCCTTCCCGTCACTCTCCGCCGCCAACCTCATCATCACGCTCGGCACGGTCGTCATGGTGACGGGTTTCCTCGGCTGCCTGGGTGCCATTAAGGAGAACAAGTGCCTGCTGCTGAGTGTGAGTGCACTACATTACCCATAATGCATCACTCTAGCAGTTCTATGTATTTTGTTTCAGTGTGTTCTATATTACTATTGTCGTCCTGTTGTGTTCATGTATTTTGCTCTGTATTTATTGAAACATAACTGCAGGTTATATTCTGCTGTATTTATGGGAAAGGTCAGAGGTCACCACCGTACCCTGTGTTCATTTTTCATGATTTAAATCTGAAATTTTGTGTATTTTTAACTATGAAGGCCATTAATATTGTTATGCATTGACCCAGAAACAACACAAGTCTGTTCTGTATTTTTCTGCTCATGTTGAATCGAACACTTTCTCATTTTTTTTGTGGTTATTTTCTTCAGTTTTTCATCGTTCTGTTGACCATCCTCTTGGCTGAACTCATCCTCCTCATCCTGTTCTTTGTCTACACTGACAAGGTGAGACGAGGGTGTCAGAGAAAATAAATCCAGATTCCTCTTAGATCCTCTCTCCTGCTTCAGGTTAGACGTGTCTTTGCCTCCTTTTGTTTAACCTCTTCACCCGTGTCGGCTCAGGTGGGCGAAAATGCCAGACGGGACCTGAAAGAAGGTCTGGTTCTGTACAACACAGAAAACAACGCCGGCCTGAAGGACGCATGGAACACCATACAGGGAGAGGTACGTTATAGCAGACATGGACACTTACACTTAAGAACGTTTTTTGCATTTTTATTTGCAAAATCAGACACTTCCTGTTTTTATAGGCACTGTTTCTTTGCATTCAAGTTTTCTATGTCACTTATATTTGATAATAATAATAACTTTTTATATAGCACCTTTTAAAAACACAGGTTTACAAAGTGCTTTGACAAACAGCAAAAACAACTAAACCAAACACAGAAGAACATAAACAACAGTAAGAACATAACAAATGCAAAATACTAAAAATAATTAAATACAATTCAACAGAAAAGAACCCAAAGTGCACGATACCAACAGACATATAGAACCCGACCATCACAAGAACCATTATACGATGCTTTGTTGTGTAACTCTTAGTGTACTGTTAGTTTAAGAACAACCTGGGACTAGGATTTCCTCCAGGATTTTAAATCTGTGTCATGTCTGATGTCTCCTCCAGTGGCGATGCTGTGGAGTGACGAACCACAACGACTGGTACAGCGCCCTGCATGGAAACGTGGTTCCTGACCGCTGCTGTCAGCAGTTTTATCAGGGCTGTGGACGCAACTCCTCCAATGTCTTCTGGACACGGGTCAGTGTGGATTTCAAGTCTTTATACTCCATTGAACGTCCAGTTAGATTCTATGTTAGTACAGACTTTGGGTGAGTCCTTTAATTTGCAGGAAATTATGAGATGATGAGCTCACCTTTAAATTACTAGCAGAAACAAACGGCTTCATCTTCAAACATGTTAAAAAAGTGCTTATGTAGCATTTTTCTGCTCCTTTTTCCCCCAGATTTTGTGATAAATAAAGCGAATTGTCTGCTAGCTTTTCAGAGCTAAGGATGCAGCTCTTCTTGCCAGCTTTGTGACAGACGTTTCACCTTTTTTCACTTTCTGCATTCCTGAGTGTAACACATGTAATCACAAGAAGAGACACGAGTCAAAGAAAAAAAACATCAAGCTGTGACGTTTTCATGTTTTTTTATTTATTGTTAACATAGGGAAACATGAGTGATAGGGAAATCAGCCTGTTGCCGTGGTTACTTTATGTCCTAACCTACAGAGTCGTGTTATTATCTCACCCTTAAACTGGATACCTCATGGTAATTACTGTGTGTGTGTGTGTTTTCAGGGTTGCTATGAGAAGGTGGAGGAGTGGCTGGATGACAACAAACACCTTCTGGGAACCATCGCCATGTGCGTGTTGGTCATACAGGTATGCAAAAACTCCTCTTGGCGTTCATCTCTCTTTATCTAAAAACACGGCTCATCTGTTCATTTTTTTAACTTTCCTTTGTTTTGTTTTTCTTTCAGCTTCTTGGCATGGCTTTCTCAATGACGCTTTACCAACAGATCCACAGAGCGGGGAAAAAGTATGAAGCCTGATCGGGTTTTTTTTTTTTAAATCGCCCTCTGCCCTCGTTTACAGTCTGTTACTCTCTCACCTTTTGTTTATAGGAACAATACGATACTGATTTCTGTTTGCCACTGCAACTTTTCATCTTCACTTAACCACCCAGTTATTGATGTGAATAAGCATTTGTACTACTTTATGTTTAGCGTATAAAATCACACTGTACTGCATGTTTTTATGATACATATTTGTGAGTTGTAGGATTTGATGTGAAGCCTGTGGAGAAATATATAAACGATTAGATAAAAAGAAGCTCTGTGTACTAACATGTTCAATAAAAGCACTCTTCACACATGTGATCGTTCTGTTTCAGGCTGATCAGTACCCACTGATTGACCTCAATACTGTTGGTTTCTTGACTCCATGGATTAGTTATCTGCTTTCACCCTGACAGTCAAACATGCGCTCTTTGGTTTCTCATGATAGAAACGGGGTGAGCTTCAGTTCATCAGAATCAGTAAACTGTTCAATCACTTGACGTGTGGAAGATGTGTTTCTTGTCTGCGTTTATCACAAAGTAACTGAGTGAGTTTATCTGGTGAAAGAGAATTCCTTCTTCCAGAGAAAGAGGAGCTCTGATTTATCTGGACAGTACGGCTTACAAAGACTTTAAGAATAATCAGGCGTTTGTTAGCTTAGCTTTGCAGAAATACAGAAAACAAGGGAGAAATTACTTTTTGATTTAGCAGCAATAAGTTGAGCAGAGAGATGAAGGTACTCTCTCTTAAGGTTTCAGTATCACCAAGGTGTGTGATACTCTTGCTCAGAGTTATTTTTATTCTAATGAGGTGGTGAAATTGGAGAAATGTTCAAATATCTTGTCCCTTGGATTTGTATTTTTGTCGTCGTGTTATAGAAGTTTGATTTTTACTTTAGGTTTAAAAGTCTGATGTCAAACAAAGTCGATGTTTCCCCTTGAATCAAATCTGAATACATTCTGTAGCTGACTGTTAGTATTTAGTTTATTACCTTCAGTCATCAGAGGACACATTTGTGGTTATAAACCCAGAGTTTTGTCATTATCAACCACCACGCTGCCTTTAATGACGACGTAGCGGATCAGCTCCTGATGTCCTCCCAGCTGGTAGATCAGATGCTCCCACCTGAAATAAAACATGGAGGAGAGGGGATCTTTAACATGAGGAAGTATTTCAAGTAAATACCCGAGACATGTCGTTAGAAAACATTCACTAAAGTGTGTTAAGCCGATGGATGCTGCTGTAGAACGTTTGTAAGTCAACTTTGGTGAACTGAGCTGCTGAAGTGAAAGGAGAGGATTTATCATGACATGTTAAGAGATACAGCCACATAAGGTCATCCTGACTCCTGATACAATTATCAAATCTCTGGTGCCAAACACAAGATATTAAAAAGTTAATATAAATATGGGGCCCGGCCACTTTGACTCATCTGGTCACTACTTCATGACTCCATAAGTGGGACATGAACACAAGTTAAATAGCTGTAGAAGAAGGAGAAGAGAGAAGGACGATGTCAGACAGCTGTTGAAAGAAGCTGAAGGATGAAGCGTGTTAAGAGGTGAAACTAAAACCAACTGGGCAGTGAATAGGCCTAAATACACAAATCCATGTTAGTTGCCGTGTTTTCACCGTGTGGTGTTGAGGAGGAGCAGGTCTCCGTGCTTGTTGACCTCCAGGGAGCCGTGCGTGTGGGAGCACCCGAGGGCGTACGCTGCGTTGATGGTGGCAGCACCCAAAGCTTCAGGCATGGACATTTTCATATTGACACAGGCGAGGTGCATGACGATTGGCTGAGGGAAGAGAAACACGTGTGAGCCGTGTTAGAAACAGACAAGTGATTGACCTGAGGAACCCCCTCGGTTCTCACCATGGAGCAGCAGTAGGCGTTAGGGTTGAAGTCGCTGCCGAGAGCAACGACCACTCCAGCATCCAACATGTCTCTGGCCCGAGGCTGAGGCAGCCTGAACACACACACACACACACACACACACACACACACACACACACACACACACACACACACACACACACACACACACACACACACACACACACACGTTTCCACTTAAAGACTTATTGATGAACATGTACTTAGTTACACTGAAGCCGTGAAGTCACAGTACCTGAGGATGTAAGCCGTAGTAGGCAGAAGTACAGCAGCAGTTTTCGACGTTGCCATGGCAGCGATACCCTCATCGGTGACCTCCTCCAGGTGACTGATGGCCAACGCTCCGAGCTCTGCACCCAGCTGACGCACACACACACTGATGTTAATAAGATCAATTTAATATCGATGTAAACAGCATCAGCAGCGAGAGCTACCTGAGCAGAGTTCATGGGATGCAGCTCGTCTCCGTGGAAGTTGATGTTGAGGCCCATGTCTTTGCCCGCCTGCAGGATGGAGCGAGTGGAGCCGAGGTCAAACACTCCGCGCTCGCAGAACACGTCGATGTTGTCGACTCTGAGGCTCCCTGAGGAAATCTTCTCCTTCAGCCGAGGCAGCTGAACCTGCAGGATGTCGTCCGTGGCCTCTGCGACCGTCTTCCCTCTAAAAAAAAAAAAGAAAGGAAACTAAAATAAAGAACTTTTTTTTTTTTTTTAATGTGGTGTGGCTGAGGATGCTCCGTACTTGGGCACTGCGTGGGCTCCGCAGTAGGTGGAGGAGATGTTGATGGGCAGGGAGCGCCGGGCCTCCTCGATCACCTCCAGCATCTTGAGTTCGGTGTGCAGCTCCAGGCCGTAGCCGCTCTTACACTCCACCAGGGTGGTCCCCGCTCGCTGCATCCTGACCAGCCTGCTGCTGAGAGACGCCAGCAGCTCCAAGGACCCCGCTGCTCGAGTGTGCTCCACTGTGAAGTGGATCCCTCCGCCCGCCCGGTGCACATCCATGTAGGAGGCACCGGCCAGCTGCAGAAGGTAACATTCAGGCAATCATTAGTTTTTGTTACAGCCGAGGTTGAAATAAATGGACAAAACATTCTGACCTTCATTGAGAATTCATGCACTCTGTCTCCAGCCCAGACTGGATGTGTGTGAGCGTCAACGAGCCCTGAAACAAGAAGGTTGTAGAAATGATAATCACAGAGATTAGGATGTTATATAGCCCATAAAACTCCATTTATAACAATACAAATAGTAACTCATACTCACCAGGTAAGACACACATTCCTGCAGCATCGATCATTTTCTCAAAGGATGACTCAGCAAACTGAGATCTGATGGTTTCAGCAGGACCCACAGCTTTGATCAGACCATCGCTGCAGGAGGAAATGAGTCACTTTAAGGTTATGATGTTGAGCATGGAATGACCCCAAAGTTTAGCTGGAAAGAGTGCATGTTGAACTTATGATGGTAGAGCCTGAGAAGTTTTTTTAAAACGACAAAGAAAGACGATTTTTAAACACAAATGTTATTTTGTAGTATAATCTGATATAAGAGAGAACCAGTCAAGAAAAACTCCCAACATCAGAGGTGGAATATAACTATGTACAATGACTAAAGGTACATAAATAAAATATATATTCCACATATTAGCACTGGACTAGATTAGTTACAATTATTGCAACTACTTCTACAAATATAACAATTTACTCTTTCACTCTGCATGTTTGACAGCTTCAGTTACTTTTCAGATTATCATTTCTGAAGCCCGGCCTGCAGGAAAGAATTATCTTGATTTAAAATGTTCCTCTTATAAACTGAAGGATTGTGTTGCATTATGCATCGACAAAATTATTTTTATGCTAAATTACATAAAGAATCCTCCCTTGCATTTAAAGGATTACAAATTTAAAAGTAGGATTTAAAATGCTGAAGGAGTGATATTAATCCAAAAACATATTTTGTAGTATATGCCTAAAACGTAGTGAAATATTTAGTTTAGAACTTTAAAATATGTTTATCCAAGAATGGTTTTAATGCAGTTATTTTATCAACGTAAGCAATATTGTTTGCCAAACTCAAAAAAAGTTCTATAAATAATATACACACTATCAGAAAAGATGCCTAAGTTCTCGTTAATATTGTATCTGGTGTAATGAACTCCTGCAGCCAGTAGGGGGCGCCAGATTGTATTTTAGACGAGTCTTTTGCCACTTTAGAGTTCATTCCTTATGTTTCATTCTAACAAGTCAAGACGAAAATTGTTTTTTAAAACCTGCTGACATTCAGTGCACAGATATAAAATGCAGAAACATCTGAGGAGTCAAATCTCATTCTTCACTTGTTTTTATATCGACTACCAGAGTGCAGTTAACTCTTGAGCCTCATCACCACCACTTTCATGAAACACAATAATTAAACTTACCTTCCTATCACCACGCTCCCATTTTCAATCACACAAAGGTTTTGCATCCCGTGTTTGGTCAGGTATTTCTCTCCGTTGTTGCAGATCAGAACCACCTGCTTGGCGTTCTTCACCAGCAGTTTGTAATTACTCGACATGTTTGATTCATCCAGAGCGCAGACACTCATCACAGTGACTGAGCTTCAACTAGTGCAGGAGCAAGGGTAAATATTTGTCATGGGGAGCAGAGTTTAAAGTGCAGAGAGGGGGGCGGAGCTTCTTCCACGGACATCACAGACTTTTTAACCAAACACTGATGTAAGATAAAAAATACAAAACGGCACAACGTTTAAGAAAGGAGGGGGAATCATTTATTGTGTCTGTATCACAACGTCACAACATAAAATTGGTCTCGCATACAGTAAAAAAAAAAAGTTATTTTCAAAACTGCTTGAAAAAAAAGAAAAAGAAAAGAAACCCGAAGCACTCATCTGTTTCACATGGTGAAAACACAAACACACATCAGCTCAACTACAACGTACAATCACACTCAGACAGAAGACCGGGGACGAGTCCTCTTCTCCGACTTCACTCCCTCATCTCTCCGTCCTCTTCCTCTTCTTCTACACCTCTGATGTACAAAACGTTATTGCACCTGCGGGTATCAAACACACAACACGTCAGTGACAGAAACAGAAAGGGTCGAATACATGCGGCGCTCTTCTGCCTCCACTATTGATTTGTTTAAAACGGTGAATTATTAACACAGGTTAGTTATGGTAGTTTAGGATTCTGAAGGTCGCTGATGTGTGTTCACATGACCACTCTGTAAAAACGTCTTTATTTTAGTTTGGTTAAAAAGAAGATATTCTCATATTAACCCTGTGAGGGGAAATTCAATTTTATTTCTCAGATATTGAGACATGCTACACGCACACATGCAAAAAAACGCTCATGTGGACATGCACTTATGGAGGGATGTCAGAGTGAGGGGGATGCACAAAGCGAGCGCCCCTGAGTTTGGGCATTTTCAGACTTTTGGTCTGCACTGGGACTTTACCCAACTCTTATCCCTACAGACCACCGCCCTGGTTAAACTGGATCAATTGGATAAACTGGAATAATACGGCAAATTACCAACAAAGACTTCATACAGTTAGTTAGATGAAGATGTTTATAAATACAAACCTGATAAGCACTTCACCAAGATGACCCGCCAACGCTCCGTCCACAAACTCTTCTGTGTTGGCCAGCTGTCGGGAAAACATGGGAATATAAAAAAAAAGGTCAAGAGGCTACCCACATCAAATAATCCCATAGAAGGATTCTAGTTTGGACTGATTTCAGCAAGACAACTCTGTCATTTTATTATGAAACATAAGATGAAAAGATTTCAGCACAACATATACTGCATTAGAGGAGAGGCTGGAAACTGTGAGATGGAATAATGAATCACATTTTTTTTTTTTTTTTTAAATGGAGAAATACCAAAAACTCATAATTACAGTTTTTTGTACTTTGAAAAGAAAAACTTTTTTATGCAAACTTGAGGGTAAGAGAGGCTTCTATGTAAATGGACGATTAAATGATCTGTATCTCTCATAACCCGTATCAGTCGATACATATCTTGAATCACTGCCACAATCACTTTGGATTTAAGTTTTGCACAAGTGTATGTTGTCATACGAGAAGGCAGGATTCTTCCTGAGTTGGTGCAGAAAGGTTCTACTGGTTTGTATTTTGGTGGTTTCAGTAAAATAGTTATTCATGAACCCATCATGTTATTGTTGGAAAGCTCCTTAAAGAATTTCTAATTGGACTGCCAACAGTGAAAAACATAATTCAACAGATTTTATGATTCCAAACAATGTCCCAAAAGACTTTTGTGCAAGCAAGGATCGCAAGGACGGGAGGGGTGTAGGAAAAAAAACACCTTAAATACAGGTGTGAGCTCTTACCTGCATGTTCATGTAGCCATCTACAGACACCAGGTAGCCCTTATACTCCATACCCCACTTCAGCTTCACCATCACTGGTTTGCCCGTCAGGCCGTTCAGGAACGGCTTCGGGTTCAGAGGTAAACTCTGTTTGGAAAGAAAGGTGAGGCCGGTTATTACTCACATATACACACAGACATATAAACCAGTTTTTGATTCAAGGCTTCATGTGTATATACAGAAATGACAAACATTTAGATGATATTTTTGACTTGTTCAAAGTTTTTATTTATAACCCATAATTGGCTTAAAAAGTGTGACAAATAAAGTAAAAGTAGAAACAAAAAGAGGGAAAAAAAAGGTGTTGAAAAAGGTTTTTTTTACTATAAAAGGAGACACTGTACAAACAAAACACAAATATGTCTGCGTGTTGTCGCTTGTAGTGACTGAATCAGAACCGTATAGCTGCAACATGTTTATGTTTCAATGAACAACGAACTGCTTTGTTTTCTTTCTTTTTTTAAATGATGTTGTCCATGAAGGATGTCAAGTCAAAGTCAACTTTATTGTCAATTTCAAAATATGCCAGACATACAGTGGAATCGAAATTGTGTTTGTCTCCGTCCCACAGTGCAATACAACCAAAATAAGATAAATAAAATAAGGTAAAATAAAATAAGGTAAAACAGATAAAATAAAATAAGGTAAAATAAAACAAGGTAAAAAATAAAATAGATAAAATAAAATACGGTAAAATAAGATAAAATAAAATAAGGTAAAATAGATAAAATAAAATAAGGTAAAATAAAGTAAAATAAGATAAAATAAAATAAGGTAAAATAAAATAAGGTAAAACAGATAAAATAAAATAAGGTAAAATAAAACAAGGTAAAAAATAAAATAGATAAAATAAAATACGGTAAAATAAGATAAAATAAAATAAGGTAAAATAGATAAAATAAAATAAGGTAAAATAGATCAAATAAAATAAGGTAAAATAAGATAAATAATATTTACAGTAATAAATTCTAAGTTGTGCAAAAGGTACAAAATGGTAAATAAAATAAAATAAAAATAAATTCAAATATTTAAAGAGGCAAAAATAAATCTCGAGGTTTGTGTAACGTTTACTATATTAACTATAAAACCATATATTGTATAATATGTTTAATGTTGTGAATTAATAAGTTTTTAAGTAGTTTGTTGGGACTTTTCTCTTTAGAAAACGGAAACAATCCAAGAGAGACATTACTTAAATCCTGAATGTAATGGAAAATATATCAAGCATAAAGCTGCATTTTATTTAACCGAGTAAATGTTTCATATTCTTCTGTTTGCGTGCATGTGAGAGATTCATTCATTCACCTTTTAACGATGAATGAAAAGCTAACGAAGCTAAAGCTAACTAACAAAACGCGCTTCTATCTCTGCACATTCATGAAAACATTCAAACAAAACATCAAATTAAAAGAAAGCAAACACAAACAAAACATACTCACCATTTCTGTGGTAGTTAATAAGGTCTACAAATTATTTAATGGAGTATTTTTCTTTCGCCAAAAACGTTTGTACTTCGTCAACCAGCAAACACGCTTTACCGCCGAACAGGAAGTAGAAACCTGCGACCCCCGAGGAGTCGTCATGTTTTTCCACAGCGCCCCCTTCTGGCGGAGTGTGCACACTACAGCCTCCGTCTGTCGGTCTCCTTTAGCGGATGGTCTGCTCTGGCTCTACTACAGTTTTAATTATTGTGTTTTAATCTTTCTTGAGTACACTATTTAAGCACTGAACTCAGCATAACCTCGTCCAGGGATAAATCATTATTATAAATGATGATGAATTTGATTTAAATTCAAAATGTGTTATTCACAAGTAGCATCTTCTGGTTTCAAACAGTTTATTACACGAGATTAAAACATTAAATACTGTATAACTTTAGTAAATAGCCAGGATTTTATTTTCTTCGGTCAATGAAATCGCCGTAACTTTGAACAGGCGTCAATGCAAGACTTTAATCATTCAAACAAAACAAAAAAACTTTAAAAAAGAGACTAGAAAACTGTACACGTACATAATAAAGAATATTTAACTGTGTACCAAACTGCACATTATTTCAACTCTAATGCATAGAGGCCTCTATGCCTTTTGTGCAAAGAAAGGGCTCTTAAAGGAACAGGCCCTTACATTTTTACTGCCACAACTAAAAGTGTTTATATGATCCTCTGAAGTGACTTTCACATTATTTTTACTCTACTGTGTGTTATTCCCTCTTTAATCAAAATGACTTTTTTAGTACAAAGCAAATAAAATCCTGTTTCTTCTGAAGTGTCCCCAGCATCTTTGTCCATCTTTCTATCTGCCCTCAGCTGAACTGTACCAACATAGAGTGCCAACGACATGTTCCCTGTGTGAAGAATCTGACCTGTTTAGGAGTAAAGAGTGAGATGACTGTCATATCTGGGTCGGGCCGGCTCTCTGTCTGGGCAGCTTTTCTCTCCAGGCACAAACAGTCTGAATATTTCTCTCATTTTCATGTGTTGAAGTGTTCGACTGTTACTGAAGCATGAAACAAGTTCCAACCTGATACTGTGAATAAAACTAACATCTGACTTCCTACAGTGAAGGGTTTGGTTCTGTCAGAATTCCTCTGAAATTGCTCTGAAGCTTTTCTCTGCGTGTTTGAAATACTCGTGCCCTTACATCATTTAGCCTATTTTTCTTCCCTCCTGTTGAGCTGCCCTCCGTGTAATTAACCAATCCGTCAGTCAGGCACCATGTCACCTATGGCATGATAACAATGTGTGTGTGTGTGAGTGGGTTTGGATGTGAAAGTGTGTGTGTTATGGGTGGGGTATACGGCACTGGACTTTCCCCCAGAGCTAACCTTTTGGTTCCCCGATGATACTGGGTGGGTGAGCAGACTGTTGACACTTTTTGACTAAGAATGTTAGAAAAACTTTTACAGAGACAACAAAAGTGATCACAAGTTTACAGAAACAACCAAAAAGAGATAAAATTGTCAAAAAAAAGAGGGACCACAAGTAGATGTAAAGATCAGTGAGGTGTTCAAAATGTCCAAAACAGCAAAAAAAGAGAATCAGGGAGATGAAATCAAGCAAAAACAAATGAGGAACTTATAACAAAGCGACAAAAAAAGAGACACACAAATTAACACAGCAGAAGAGCAATCAGACAAAAAACACTAAAAGAGACATGAGACCAAAAACAGTCTCACAAAAAGCGAGAAAAAAATGGCACAAAAGTCAAAATGAAGAAAGAGACAGAAGAAGAAACGTCATGAAATGTAGGCAAACACTTTCCATGAAATACAAATAAATCACCATTAAAGAAACAAACCAAGACTAAAAAGTGATGCAATACTCAAGGTGAATCTTAAATATCAATTTAATGACATTGAATCAAATGTTCATATCCAAAGTTGTTGATTTCCCAATAAGTGTGTGATCAAAAATCAGGACTTCAGATGAGTTGCACATTTTTTAAATCTGTTACAAACTTCTACAAGTCTTCAACTTTCTGCTGCAGCGTTGTGTGAGTTGGCATCATCATTTGGAGGAAGCTGGACGGTCAGATCATTCCAGTCTGATGCCAAACGGCTCTTTGAAGTCTGCAGACGAGAGCGGAGAGACTGAAGTTAAAACTGAATGGATGAACTGCAGGAAGTGTAAAGCATGGGACTCACAAATCTCCCCCAAATGTGTGCAAAAGTCCAGACAACTTTTTCCAGTCATGTCTGTGTAGTATTCAGGTCACAGCGTTTTTTTTTTTTGGCCTGTAAATGTCTTTGACCAAAATCTTGACTGTGTTGCATAAAAAACTCGGAGGTTCAAAGAGTTTAGACCTCCGAGAAAGATTGCACAAAGGAGTCCAGGAGCAGCACAGACAGAACAAAGCGGACAGGTGAGATAGTTTCATTTGGCTCGCTGCTTGTTTGACTCGGGTCAGATGCACAGAAAGCAGGTCATGCTCCGATTACACAGCAGACAGAGGAGCCAAAGCCATGCTGTGTCCACTGGAGCTGCACAGAAAACGGGCAAGAGAGGAAAGAAAAAGTTATCAGACATTCATTTTTCCCCCTGAATTTTTTTTTTTGTACCCCACCACAAGGGGGCGCCCTGCAGCCTAAACCCAAAGGATGTAACACAAGCAGATATCATCTTGATTTTGGAGCTCTAAGTCAATAATTTGAGTATCTTTGTGTTGGGCTTTGAGCAGCTTTTGTTGCGAGTAAAAAAAAAGGCATGTGGGAAGCAGAACTGGGATTAAAAAGCTCCCAGTTTATTGGCCTGCACATTTCACTGGTTCTTGTTTGAACACCAACAATTGTTGTCAACAAAAGCTGAGGCCGAGTTCAGCCGAGCAACCAATCGGTGTAATTCGAAGTGCGTCATTCAGCATCAGTGTGAGGTTGTGTGTGTGTGTGTGTGTGTGTGTGTGTGTGTGTGTGTGTGTGTGTGTGTGTGTGTGTGTGTGTGTGTGTGTGTGTGTGTGTGTGTGTGTGTGCACTCTCTCCATCCAAAGCCAATTAGTCAGAAATGTGGACATGAGCACATCAGCTTTTCATCAGACTCCACGTGGTTCAGTGCAGGGGGTCCCAAACTTTTTAATATCATGGACCACTGATCTTAAAGTGAGTGGGGGGGGGGAAGTGTTTGAATAAGCCAATGCTAAGGTGCCCCAAAAAAACTGCAGTTCCTTGAGTGTCCACTAGAGGCTGGCTCCAAAAGACCCGCAGGTCACATACACACCCCATATTACAATGTCTTTTTGACAGCAGAGATTAACATGTCTACAGCCTGGTACAAAAAAAATGATTTTGGTCTTTAATGTCTTTATCGGCACACACTGTAGGGGGGTTGAATATCTTTTATAACCGATTTGTTTGTTTTATGAAGGATATAGACTCATGCATTATTGGAAGAGTTATCAATCTTACTTTAGCGGCTGTGTCGTAGCAGTTTGTCAGGAGGTTTAAGACTTGCCCGCGTCAGCTCTTTGCCTGTCATTAGGTCGACTAAAGTTTATTAGAGCCGGCATATATGGCAACCGCCATGGATAGACTTCCAAAACGGCCCTTCAGAAACCAAGGGACGACGTCACTCAGGCTTCATCCAATTGGCTCTTATTTACAGTGTGTGAGTTTTATATATTCACTTCATAAATAATTTAATCTGTAAAGTAATAAAGGTGAAACAATAAGGCTAAATATTTACACCTGAAGGTACTATTATTTTAAATTTTAAAATATGTGATTTTTTGATCCAGCAGATGTCGCCCTTGAGCACCAGCATGAAACCAAAACAACTCTCGCTGCATTGTTGTGTTAGCATGCTAATGCTAGCGATCTTTATTATGCTGGGATCTTCACACTGCATGTAAATTTACCTGAAATGAGCGTGATCTAGAAACACAGTTAAGCAGTGAGTACAGTATGTTATTCTTCTTTTCTCTAGTCCCTCAATTAAACAACTTTTATACACGAGGGGAGGAGTCAGCCGGCCGTCCTGGCGATGTAAACAAAGTGAAGATAGGACTCTGAAAACTCTGAAAACATCATAGACAGTGGGACTCGGGTGTTACACCCATTGTAGACAGTCATGACTCACAGAGTTATTTTCAGAGGATATACTTCATTTTTATTATATTTAAGTGTATATAAAGACTTTAATCACAGTTATGCTTCACAGAGTATCCTTTAGACCGCCTAGTGGTCCGCGCACCTCATGTTGGAGCCCCCCTGGTGTGAGCAGCAGGTTGTGGAGAAACTGTAAATGTTCCTTTAAGCCGGAGAAAAATGCGGAGGAGAGGCGGAGCTGCTGCTACTGTCACTACACCTCCTCCTCCTCCTCCTCCTCCTCCTCCGGACTCTCTCACTCATATCTGTGCGGAGCAGAGCGGGGCAGCAGCGGGCTCTCACTGCGGGGAAATGAAACACGCTGCGGGTCCCGAAACGGCAACAAACGACGAGCCGGGAACAACCGAACACTTCCTCCTCCTCCTCCTCCTCCTCCTCATCTCCTTCTTCCTCTTCTTCTACGCTCCTTCTCTGCTCTCTCTGCGGGACGTCACGCACCGTCCGGGATCATGTCGTTTCTCCTTTATCGCCTCTTTGGATCGCAGCTGAGTGAAAGAGAAAGTCCACACTGGATGTGAACCTGCGCACTTGTCTTCTTCTTTGATTTAAAAAACATCTCTGCACACTTGATGTCTGAATAACTCCAAAAAAAGAAAAGAAAAAAAAAGAAGCGACATTTCTGGGACAGTTGTTCTCGCGTGTTTTTGGATTTAATCTCCCTGCCACGAGGAGATATGTTGACTTTATTGGTGATCATCTTGGCCGTGCTGTCAGATGCAGGTTAGTGTGTTTTATTGTGCACAACACATCTCAGATTTATTGTTACCACAGCAACAGTGTGCATGTTGCCCCTGCAGAACTCCCTTTAAATGTTTAGTCATTTAAGCTCCGTTTAGAATATTCTTCTAAATTGATTTCTGACACATGAATCCTGATTTATTCAAACGTTTGAGGTGATTCAGATCATACTCAAATGTGCTAAACTCCTGCTTCCATATAAACTCATGAATACAGAGAACAGCAGCAGGCATGACTCAGCCCTTGTTGTTGTTAATTTGCACAAATTTGAATGGAAGTTTTGTATGAGAAACATAAAAGTCTTGATTTGTTTTTGATTTTACTTTGAAATCAGTATTTTTCAAATTAAAAGCTCCTGTCAAACCAAATAAAATATGCTTGTTAGTCCCATTTTTTTTAAACTGCCCATTATATGAAACAATAGAGTTGAATTAAGTGATTGTGTTTCCTCCTCTGACCTCCACATACACACAGTTATGTAATTCAGTAGGAATTCCTGTCTCACAAAAACATGCTCCTTGAGAAGGCTCCTCAGAGCAAAGGTTCATTAATTCAGGCTCTGAGGGTGTAACATGATCGCATCTGTGAGGTGTTTTGATATGAAATACAAAGACATGTTGTCGAGGTCTGGATAATAAATCCTTATTGGAAGATGACACTGTGGCCCTCAGGGAGAGTTTTTTCTTCTTCTTCTCTTTCTTACAAAGCATCTGGGAGGCGTCTGCATGCCGCTCATCCTCCCCGAGCTGCCAAACATTATCTGTGTTAGAGTCCACGCTGGCTGCAGTCTGCAGCAGGCAGGTGCACAATGCCTCTATTATCCCCTTTGCATAACATTTCCGATCGAGGTAAATCATTTCACTTGTGTACACACTCACTTCGCCCACTCGTTCTTACACATGCTCTGTTTCTATCACTAAAACTCAGAGTCCTGACAATTCAAGAAATCTCCACACCTGCTTAAAAAAACTAATAGATTACTCCAAGGGTCACCGAGGAAGATGGCGAGACATTTTTATGGTTTAATATAGTCAGTTATTAGACTTAGATTGCACAATAATCAGCCATATTGCAAAACATTATTTGTCTTCCATTCCTGTGTTTGTTTAGGTGAGGCCTTGCATTATTATTATTTCTTACTTATTACTTTTGTGACATCTTGTCATGCAAAGAGTTTCATTTGTTTTGTTTTTTAATAGAATATATATACGATATGCTTCCTTCCTTGATCCTGCAAGAAATTTGCAATAATTTGCTTTCCAGTCAACAACATGTGCAGTCAATAAGAATCTCCTTTAAAGGCTTTATATGTGATGTTTTGATCCAGCAGATGTCGCCCTTGAGCACCAGCATGAAACCAAAACAACTCTCGCTGCATTGTTGTGTTAGCATGCTAATGCTAGTGATCTTTATTATGCTGGTATCTTCACACTGCATGTAAATTTACCTGAAATGAGCGTGATCTAGAAACACAGTTAAGCAGTGAGTACAGTATGTTATTCTTCTTTTCTCTAGTCCCTCAATTAAACAACTTTTATACACGAGGGGAGGAGTCAGCCGGCCGTCCTGGCGATGTAAACAAAGTGAAGATAGGACTCTGAAAACATCACAGACAGTGGGACTCGGGTGTTACACCCATTGTAGACAGTCATGACTCACAGAGTTATTTTCAGAGGATATACTTGATTTATAAATTTAAGAGTGAAAAATCACATATAAAGACTTTAAAGCAGCTTTTATTTGTCAATCAAATGTTCAAAAGCTGGATACTGAAAACTATTTTTTGGTGAACTGTCCCTTTAAACTCAGGTGTGCTGAGTGCCACACCTCACTGCTTTCACTCTCTTCTTGTTTTCTCTGCAAAGCTGTTTTGTCGCCTCAGCTCTTATTTGTTTGCTTATGTGTAAAGTCTTTATTATTATTTGTTTTCAGGTCTGTCGGAGGTGTTCCGTGCAGGTGTGGCCCCTCGCTGCGAGAGCCACGCCTGCAACCCTCGCATGGGTAACTTGGCCCTGGGTCGCCGAGTCCTCACGCAGACCGTCTGCGGCAACAACGGCACCGAGCTCTACTGCTCGTACTCCGACCCGAACGTCAACCTGGCCTGCGACGCCGCCACGTGTGCCAAATGCAACGCGGGCCTGCCCCACCTCTCCCACCTGGCGGGCGCCATGTCCGACTCCTCCTTCCGACACCCGAACACCTGGTGGCAGTCGGCGGAGGGGGTGGAGTCCGAGACGGTGCAGCTGGACCTGGAGGCGGAGTTTTACTTCACGCATCTCATCCTGGTGTTTCGCTCGCCGAGGCCTGCCGCCATGACGCTGGAGAGGTCGCAGGACTTCGGGAGGACGTGGAAGATGCTGCAGTACTTCGCCGGCAACTGCAGCGCCACCTTCGGGCTGGAGGAGGGGAAGGCGGGAGAGGGATGGGATAGCGCCACCTGCACGTCTAAATACTCCGGGACTTATCCCTGCAACCGTGGAGAGGTGAGAAGGAAGCTGTTGACCTTTAACCTTTAACATTGAGCTTTAAATCTGTCTCTGAAGTCTAGGTGAAGCTTTGCTTTTACATTTTGGTGATTGAATAACTTCGCAGTTTTCCTCACAGAGAATTTTCACGTTCATACCTGCAATTGTTTTGGTTTCCCATCCTGGGAAACTGTTTGCATCATTACTTTCTCTTTAAACAAACTTCACGCTTTCTGCCCAGCAGCACGTACGACGTGCATCACCGCTTGGCACCCTGGAGAGTGGCAATGCTTGTTGTAATCTATATAGCGCCCTCTGCTGGTGAAAGAGAACTGCTTGTTTAATACACTGAAACTAACATGAAATTCTTTTTGACTGGTGATAAAATATCTTGTAATATCGGCGCATATCTGCGATAAAATGAGTTGATACCAATAGTCGCTTGATGTGCTAATATGGCCGATATTATCGGCTGGCCGATTAATCGTTCGGGCTCTAGACTCAAGTCAAGACGAGAGAATTTGATCCCCAAATTGTTCACGACAACATCTTTATGAAATGAATACACATGGTGTTGCGGGGCTTGCTGTGCTGCCCTCTTCAGGGAAACTGAACGAGAGAAATCATAGGAGGGAAAGACGTAAAACAATGTTCATACTTTTGTCCTGTCCTGAAGTTGATTGTTGTTCATCATCAGTTTTTTTGTTGTTGTCATCCTTAAAGTCGGTGAATTTTTCATGGTTTCAAGTGTTCATGGGTAATTTCAGCCAAATCTTTGTGTACTGTCTTGGCGGTCTTCACTTTTGATTTTCCACGCTCACTACCTGGTTAACTTGATTGTTACATTTTTGGTTTACCAGGGGTTAATTTTTGACTTTGGCTGGTATGAGTTCTTTCTTCAGCTGCCACCTGCCACTCTAACTGGAACATAAATGACTTTGTATTTATTCCCATTAATCAGCCAGCGGTTCTTTGGATGAACAGATTAGCATCAGGTCTTGGTTGATTTCTTAATATTACTCTTTGTCCAAACACAGTCAGATACGTCAGAAAGCAGGTTAACACAGGTGGGGAAGGAGGGCGGAGACACACCTGCAGTGGAACGCTGGAGGGGGGTTCCAGAAAGTTTCCTGTTCAGCCTTTTTCTGCCTCTATGAGTTAATGACTAATGATGTCATATTGACACACACAGTGTCTTTGTGCGGCAGGTAAATCGTCCTGGAGACCTTCTCCATCGGTACCTGCCCTCCTGGAACAAATTCACTTCTTTCTGCAGTAGGTCACGCAACATGCTAAAGTCATACGATGTTAGCACGCGGAGTAGAAAGCAGAGCACATCCAGGTGTGTGTGTGTGTGTGTGTGTGCGTGTGTGTGTGTGTGTGTGCGTGCTTGAGTGAGTGTTTAATGGCCGTGCTTTAACCGTTGCACGAGAGGGCTTCCTGAAGTCCCTTGATGTTTTAATTGAAGCAGTGTGTGTCAGGAGCTGCTCTGCAGATGTGTGTGGAGGCGCATGCCGAGCGTGTTGCTGCTCTGGACTCCCTGCTGAGCTCTCGTGTGTAATGTGTGTTTACGCCCTCTTTGATATTCCAAGTATTCCCCACAGCTGGTTTGGCCTTATTCTGCAGCCCGATCATAAATCTTTCTCTTATCTGCTCCCGCTGTGCAACTTGTGCATGTGTAAAAAATACGTTTATGGGCTTGTGCATTCAAGACCAAAAAAAACGGTAAAATTCTGTTTTTCTCTCCGTGTTTTATGGAGAAAAAAACTGAGGTGTGAAAAAGTCAACATATTTCCCTCTCTGTCTCCTCGTGCTTCTCTTATTGGTTTCTGTTCGTCTCAGCCACCTGTGCTAGAAGTACAACCTCTGCTCTCTAACCCCTTCAACTCCTGACCCGGAGGTCAACAGAGGTCAAGTAGCTCCTGACAGGCCAGCTGCTGCTGCTGCTGCTGCTCAGCTGTTCACACCGTTTCTGTTCCTGTGTGGTTTTGTTGTGATTGTGTGTCACCTGCGCTGACAGTTAAACACACTGTGGCCTGTGTAAGGTGCTGACAACAGAGCGCTACGCTGTGCAGTGTGTGTGAGCCTGTTTTTAGGAGTGTAGAACCTCACTTCTATCACGCTTTGAATATGAGGATTTTGTTTTAGGGATTGATTTGCACACAGTTTAGCTCAGACCACATGAGGAGTCAGATCAACTTGGGGAGTCTTGCAGAAGGACACATCGGACAAGTGGCTTCGGGAGCTCGGGATCGAACCAACGACCTTCCAGTTGTGGGACGATTGGCTCTTCCAACCGAGCCACAGCCGCCCCTAAACGCACTATTTGAGTCTGCATTTTTACGCATTTCTAAATGACCAAATACTCCTAGCTAGCATGTTGGTCTTACACATCATGAGAGTGAGAGTGGGACATTCAAATATGATAAATATCACAGATTATCCCCCCAATGTGAGAAAATAGGCAATTTTAAGACACCTTATTGCATGTTTTTTGAATTTGTTATAGACTAATTGACATAACCCACTCAAATTAAACAGCCATGCGCACTAAATATTTGCAAAATGCTTTAAAATACTGCAACATTTCTCTGCTAGAGCGTGTAATATTGCAGACTACATTTTTGCGGGATGTGATCTTCTATATCCTCGGTCATTTATCTCATTTGCCCCTGCGGATATTGGCATTAATTTATGCTAGTAACTTAATAATTGATTGATTAATTGAAGAAGTAATCCACACTGACAATAATCTGCAGTTGCATCACTTTAATATTAAAGTCATGTCACCTCATCAAGGTTTACTTCACCTGCTGCAGAGTAACTTTTAAACCCTGCGTAAACAATTTGTGTTGCAATCATGAAACAAGCTAAATGAGACATAAATGACTCGATTCAAGATCTCCTGCATGCACGTGTTGACTCTGGTTATCAGATGGCAGCGAAGGCTTTCTAGGTGTTGTTCTATGGCTGGGAGCAATTTCAGGGAGCTGGTAGGCTCAGCTTTCCTCCATGAAAGCATGTCATCTCTTGCGCTGAAAGCCTTTTCGTGTTCACCTGTAATGTGGGGGAATAGGTGGCGTGTGAGTGTGTGTGTGTGTGTGTGTGTGTGTGTGTGTGTGTGTGTGTGTGTGTGTGTGTGTGTGTGTGTGTGTGTGTGTGTGAGTGTGTGTGTGTGTGTGTGTGTGTGCGTGCGTGCGTGCGTGCGTGTGTGTATGTGTGTGTGTGTGTGTGGAGTATGCAGAGCTCCTTGTCTTATTTATGAGGTCAGCCGGGCTGGAAGAATGTGAGTGTTTGTTGTAGAGACTGACCTCCTTAGGGAAGAGAGCGAGGCCTACAGTGTACACACACACACACACACACACACACACACACACACACACACACACACACACACACACACACACACACACACACACACACACACACACACACACACACACTCTCAGATAAACACATACAGTCAGCTCTCCGTCTGTCTGCTGGGAAGGAAGTGCCGTTGCTCTGATGGATGTTGGTACTGTTGGCTAGACGTCCCCCCCCCTCCCCCCCCCCACCTCCCCCCAGCTCACCCCTTCACCCGCTCTGTTTCCCTCTCCGTCTCTCTGCTTCCATCAATGCCCATTGTGCCTGTTTACCAGATTACAGCGCACAGTGCTTTGATGGAATTACGCCTGTTTAAGCCAGACTTACTTTTATTTTCCAGCCTCAAGTGGACACATGGACCACAGAGAACCAAACGCCTTTAAGAACTTCGAGACAGAAATTAAAACGTGGCTCATTTCGCAATAAATGTCTGCAATATTTTTCATTGCTGGGTTATAAAACTTTATCGTCTATAGTTTTGTTTTAAGCCATAGTCGTCAGATTCCACATAAGACACACTGCAGTAGAAAAGTGAAAGTTCAAAAAGGCAGATGTTTTCCATTCTGCACTTGTTGCACTTCTGTTTCTGTGGATTCACTCACAGTTAAAGGTTCCCTGCGGAGGTTTCAGTCAGTAAAAATCTTTACAGTCAGCATTTCTTACCAAAACACCTTGTGTGTGTCCTTGAAACCCCACGGACCCAAGGAATGCATTTTCCTTCAGGTAAAGCATACGCAAAGTCGATTATTGCACTTGATCTTGAAGACGTTTTTTTTTGTGTCATGTCATCCTCTTCTATCTACTGTTGCAGTCTTCTTATACCCACCAAGGAGGGAAATGTTTGCGCTTTGCTTGTCAGTAGGATAATGGAATAATTATGCACTGATTTTTGTGAACTTGGTAGAATTGTAATATTTTTTTGTAGAGGAAGAAGCCATTAAACTCAAACCACAATCAATATTGACAAAATTGCTCTCTCAGTGCACTTCTACTTTTTCCCTGCTATTTCTTTTCATGTTACTGTTCCTTTATCTTTATATTAATGTTAGTCAATATTGTTAGATCGTATGAATATATGTTGCATGCTCATTTTCTCACATGTGCATCATACTTATTGTACTACAAGAGTTAAGATAATGTAAAAAATCAAAGCTCCATAGATTCAAATCTTGATCCAAAGGCATCTGGACTGGTTCTACTGGTCTAGTTCAAACAGTTGCATTTGGATCAATCTTCAAATCTACCATGACCTGGCTGACTAAGAACCTACACAGACATAGCTCCATAGAATAAGAAAACCTCGACAAGGCACCTTAACAAGCCATCTGAAATGTTTTATCCAGACCCTTGTTTAGTTTCCTATTTGGCTTTTCTGGTTGCTTATTTGTGTGCAGACTCGTAATGATATAAAACGATGAACAATAAATAAAAGCAGGCTGTTTCCGTCCTGGATAATCCTCATGGAGTCCTCTTGGAAATTTCATTTTTTCCATAAATTCCATTTTGCCTGTGGAAGAAAGTTTTTCTATACTGCTGTAATGGTTTTTAATTGTGTAGGTTGGAGCCGGTTATGCACCACTCACATCTCACTTGTTGTTTGATTATAGGTTTCCCCTGAAACCCCAACAGGGTTAGTGTCCCGCTGTGAGGTGCATGTGTGAACAACTAATTAAGGAAGATTTCAGGGTAGTCTACTTAAAGTTTTCAAGCCATTTGTAAAGGATTATTTTGGGATTGTTTTGCCTTTATTTAGAGATAGGACAGTGGATAGGGTAGTAAATTGAGGGGAGAGAGAGTGGGGACAGACTTGCAGGAATGGATCCACAGGTCTGATTCGAACCCGGGCCGCCTGTCTGGAGGACTTCAGCCTCCGTACATGGGTCGAGGGCACTAACCACTACGTTACCGGCACGCCCATTTCAAACTATTTTTAAGAGTACATTTTTTAAACCAGCTTTTGAGGCATGTTGTAAAAGCTTAAAAAAGATTCTAGGAAGCCCCGACTGTGCTTAACATGTAAACCAACATACACACGAGTATCATCGGCATATGGGCAAACTCTTAATTTCCGTCTGTACATTTGGGGGGAAACTGTGAGGTGTTATTGTGTCGTAAAAGCTCGAAGATAGACTCTGTGGAATCTGCAACACTGCTGTTTGTGTGCATGCCAGTGTGAATGTGTGTATCCTCTGGTGTTGCTGTGGTATCACTGAGCTGTCGCGGGCCTTTTGTCCGTCCCTGAGTTATGTGAAGCTGCATCTCCATCCCCGTCTTTGTCTGGCCCCGCTCTCTGTGCTCTCCCGTGGGCCGGCGCCCCTGGTCCTCTATTTGTCGTGTTCTCTTAATTGTGGACCACAATGCCGTGACCCCGTACCTCGTCCAACAACAGGGAAATTAATAGTGCTCCTCCCATCGCACTCGGGGCCAGTCATCCAGCCAATGAGGGCGCTGCATGGGGTCTCTGCTTGCATCTCAAAGCTTTGGCCAAAGGAAACACACATAAACACACTACTCATCCAAACGATATCACTGACAGCCAGAGACAACAACACACCCTGCAAACACACACACACACACACACACTTCTTTCACAGCGAGAGGAGGGCAGACACCAACTCTCTTCGTGCCCAAAAAAAACAGCAGCGGTGCTCGTTGCTAGCGGCAGCAGTAGCCATGGCGATGGCAGCCCATAAAGGGATCTTCGATTTGAAGGATGTCCAGGGACCAGACAGAGTAAAGAGAGAGAGAGAGAAGGGGAGAAAGAGGGGAAAGAAGGGGCGAAAGGGTTTGAGGCACTTATTTAAGGACACCCAGCGCCCTCATGGTCACGTGAAGACAGAGTCAATGACTACGGGTTGTAAAGTCATGATTTATTGCACAAATAAAAACCAAAACAAACCGCCATTACCATGACAGATGTAGTGACACAGATAGCATCAATGAACCCGATTGTGCAACTTAATGAACCTGTCTAATCCCTGTAAATCATAAAGTGCGGCTGAAAGAGGGAACTTTCCCCCGTTCTGTTTGTTTGTGCTTTTTGATTGAGTAGAAAACCATAAAAACCAAAACAACTCAACCTGCTGACAAGTGTTTTTTAGGATCAAGTAGGTTGGAAAAGAAACAAGATGTTGTGGGCAGATTGAGACAAGGGATGGATATGGAAGTGTGTCTTACTTGGCTGGTAAATGTAGCGTTGCAAAACCTGCTCATGCTCCTAACTGTAGATTTTTTTTCTGATTTTGATAGCGTTTCTCTCTCCGGCCCAACAGGTGATCTACCGCACTCTACCAAAGTGGGAGTCATTGGATCCTTTTGGGTTGGAGGGCCAGCAGCAGCTGAGGGTGACCAACATCAGGATTCGACTTCTGCAGCGACAGGCGTGTCCGTGCCAGGCCAAAGACCCCGCCTCCGCACAGGAAGACCTCCCCACCAGACACTTTGCCATCTACGACCTGATAGTGAAGGGAAGCTGCTTCTGCAACGGACACGCCGAGCAGTGTGTTCCTGCGCGGGGATACCAGCCCATCAGAGACAGGACCAACCATGTGGTAAGAGGGGGAACATAGAGTCAGAGTGTTAAAATGAAATCTTTTGAAGGAATGCAATTACCACATTACCACCAGAGGGTTGTAGGGCTTTTGTTGATATTGTGAATGTGTCAAAACTACACATAGCGGGGCACTAGTGGTGCAGTGGTTAGTGCGCACGCCCCACGTATGCAGGCTGGGGTCCTCCAAGCGGGCGGCCCAGGATCGAGGATGTGGCTCCTTTGGGTTAGGGTTTAGTTTTAGTTTAGTTTAGTTTATTTGCACATTTTTTTGAAAGAATAGTCAAACAGAAAAATAAAACAAATACAAAATAAAACACGTGCAGGTGAGGTAGAAACTTAAACAAAGTTCAAATAAAATACAGTAAAAATAACAAAGTAAGAATATTTATCACAAATAAAATTTACCCAATTCAAAACATTGAAAACATAAAAATAGAGCAAAACAGGACATACAGTATGTAGACAATATAACAAAATCAGGACAATTCACTACAAATCTTTCTGACATCAACACATTTCTGAGTCTCAATTTGTATCTAGAAAAAGACAAAAGATCATTAAGTAAATAAAGATGCGTGTTCCATAATTTGACTCCACGGTATCTTATTGAGTACTGTCCTCGAGATGTACGACACATTGGTAGGTAGAGGTTATTGGTTTGTCTAGTTGAGTAATAGTTCACCTGAGAATTAAAAATGCTTTAAAGCTTCCTTACTCTCTCTCTCCCTGATTTCCAACTCCATCCACTGTCCTATCTCTCCATTAAAGGCACAAAAAGCCCCCAAAAAAAGCTACACATAGCAACACATAAAGGCAGTCTGTTGGATCTGCAGCAAAGATCTGTTTTTGCATCAATACTCCTCGACCAGTGATTACATTTCCAACCTAAATAAATGTTTCCAGTCTCGATGCTGCGATACGAATGCACCACTCCTGTTTTGACATGCGGGCATTTCCTTCAATTCTTTGTGTTTCACTTGCTCTGTGAAGTAATCACACCCCATGGGCAGGCTTTTCACTTGTTTCTTTGAAATTAAGATTGTTTAAGATTAGAGTACTTACAAACTAAATAGCCTGTTCTCTTTGAGCTGGCAGTCGTCTTAATAACAGACTGAAGGAGGGGTTTCACATTTTTCTTTCACTTCCACTGTTCTCCTGGCTCTCTGTCTGCTCAGATAAACAGCTGCCGTTCTTTCCGGTTCATAACAAACCCGAGAGATGTAGATACTGATCCCTTCTGAGCGAGGGCTAATGGTGGTGTTGATGTGTGTGTGTGTGTGTGCTGATAAAAGTGTGATTCTGTGTTTTTTCCTGGAGATCAACGGTGAAGTGTTTCAGAGCGGCGCTCCTATCACGGCCATCTCCACAAACAGAAACGCCGGGTGGCTTTGAAGCTGAGCGTCCGCTCTGCTGCAATCAGTGAAGCTCGACAGGGAAAGTGAGAGTCAACAAGGAGAACTTCTATAAGCAAAGCGATGTACACTGATAAACAGCTGCATGGCAACATTATATACACTCCTGCAAAGCCTGGATTGATAATCAACATTTCAAGACTGATAAAAATATAAAAACAACCCGCCTACAGAGCTCAACCTCAACCTAATAATGCAAACGTATGCATGACTCTGTATGAACAAAGATATCAGCTAATGAGACCTAAAATCATTACCCTGCTTAAAAAATATGGGCTCTAAAGGAGATTCCTTTGCTTTGCAGCAGGCCTCTAGTGGACACTTGAGGAACTGCATGTTTGTTTTTTTTACACTTATTGCTTTGGCTTCATTTTTTAACACAGGAGGTGACCATTTCTTGTGCAAGCTAATGTTTCCATTCAGAGAAATTTAAAATACATAACTGTAGACCAGCTGTTCTATTTTTGCATGAATTAGTGGAATATGTTTTAATGGTTTTTTTTTTTAAACACAATTACAACTTAAAACTAGTCTGTGTACTTCCCATACAAACTCATTTAAAGCTTAAAACATTTTGCAAGACCATAAAAAATTCCATCAAAACACGAGCTGTTGTTTAATAGTATATGCACAATAAATGAACAAGACCATTCATGTGTTTTCTTTGCTGATAACGGCGTGTTTGCACCAAAGCTCGCTGATAACCGATTTTTTGAAAACAGTCCTTAAATCTTTGAATCTGACTTTTTTCATGCCAAGAAATTCCAAGTAGCTGTACTGAGTGTTTTCATGAGGATTTCCTTTCTTCTGAGGGTAGAAAATCCTCTGAAACAGTCTTTAGACCACGGGGGGATGTAAAACCCTCCTCTGCACGCCAGGGTCAGTATAAAAAAACAGACATGCCTGCAAAATGACGTTTGAGTGCCTTGATATAAGTCCGTCTTTACCCTAGACTTGAACCTAAATCCTCCTTAGCTTTCCCCATAACATTACCTCAGGTCATAGGAACGTCGCTTTGCCATGCAGGAGCGTTTTGTAAACACACACAAAAGTTATATAAGTGTTTTGTTTTTTTTCCTGCCTATCAGCAGTTTTGTTTTGTGTCTCTGTTTCGACCTGGCAAAACCCAAACAAGCAGAGCAGAGCAAGATGGGAGATGAAGGCAGAGATAGCTGAACACTCAGAGTAAGGGAAGGGCGAGTGCCAGGCTGAAGAAGTTCAGTAAGTAGTAGTCAATGAACGCACTGAAAAAAAAACTCCACTGCAAGAACAAATGATCTGCGTTTAATGGAGAAATGTGGTTTAAAAGACTTGTGTAAGTCAGTGAACTTCTTGTGATGAAAGATACAACAGAAAACTCAAAGTATTTGGTCTTTTTATTCTCTGATTTTCTGAAGTTTTAAAAATCCAAAACAAAAAACGCCCACCAGAATTTACATTTTTAGACACTTCAAATCCATTGTCACCCCTTTACCTTTTCTGAAGATTATTTCCTTTCTAATATATAGATGGAAATGGAAGTAAAAGGAGCAAAATGTATTGTTTCATACTGAAACATTTAGAAGTGACACAAAATACAGCAACCGGTATTGCCAGGATAAAGTGCAATAAAAAAGGAGATGACACATTTTAGGAGAGCGTTGCTCGGCAGGATCACTCAAGTAAAAGTTACAGTCAAGTAAATTGTACTTAAAGTTGTCAAAGAAAAAAAAGCAATGATGAAGAGGAGGAGAACCAAAACGGCAGAACATGCACATGTACCTTACTCTCCACACAGCAGGCGTTGTTTGTTTGTTTGGTCTGCTCTGCGTTAAGGTGTGTGTGCTTAAGCATGCAATGTTGTGTCTGCTCAAAGTTTGTGTGTGTGTGTGTGTGTGTGTGTGCAGTAATCAGCAGTGAAAGTGATCTGTGTTGTGTGTGTGTGTGTGTGTGAGTGTGTGTGTGTGTGTACTGATAAGTCGAGTCATTACCCTCCAGACTCTGTAAAGACATAAGGACCAGATTGTGTGTTTGTTTATTTGTGCTCCTGTGCACCCCCCCCCCCCCCCCCCCTCACATGGGATTGTTTTTTTTTTTTTGGGTGGTTCAGGGTGATTTCACTGTCTGCTAGTTAGCCACAAAGACAACAAACACGTGCAGACATAATGAAATCCAGAGACGGCTACAGGAGCTTTTAGCAGCAGTTAGTCCAGGCAGTGTTTTTTTCTCTCTCTCTCTCTCTCTCTCTCTATGAGCCTCTCTCGCCCTCTTTCTTCTTATTTCTTTGGGGTACAATCACTTCTATCTGAACCAGTTCTCTTGCCCGCTTTGCCTGGCAAACAGAGGGGCGTCCAAAACGGCCGAGTGGGGGTAGCCTTTAAAACCGCCTACCTTCTCTGGTCCAAACAAATCCAGAGCATTATGGACCGGAACCCTTCAGCACTGCAGTATGGAGCTATGTAGCTATCTTTTTGATTATAAAACACACTCTCAGCGACCTCAACACTGCAGTATCATACTTAAGGTACACTCATATCTTGGACTTGTAGTGTAATATGTCCACAGTGTTGTAACTTTACATAAACGTAACCATGTGAATTCTTCTCTTACCGTGGGAAACAAATGCAAGAATTTGTGTGTGTGTGTGTGTGTTTGTGCATTAGCAGGACTTGCATGTGCATTTGCGTTGATCATTGTGTGTACCTCTGTAATCGTTGTATAATTATGTGTGTGTGTGTGTGTGTGTGTGTGTCCTACATTACAGTTGCACGGTGTAACGCAAACAAATAAAGAGCTTCCTCAGATGCCTTGCACCCCCCTTCAATCATTATCCAGCATGCATGGCATTCCAGCTCACAGGAATGACAAGGAGATTGTTATTGTGCTCTCAGCGCTGCATACTTGCACTCTTCTCATACACACATGCAAACTAACAAACACACACACACGCACACACACACACACACACACACACACACACACACACACACACACACACAGGCTTTTCAGACCGGAGGCCCGTTCTTGTTTCCAGTGATGAAGCCAAACAATCAATCTCCATTCACTAATTTCAGGCAAAGGGAAAGACCGAGGGAGAGATGGAGGGGAGGAAACTGAGAAATCTAGTAGAAACAGAGGGAAAGTAGAGAGTTCTAAAAGGGGAAAGAGAAGAAGTGAACTTTTCTCTCCATCTGACCTCCTCCCATCTCTCCATCTTTTACCTCTAGCTCTCATTTCTGTCGGTGCTAATGAGCTCTCCTCCTCCTCCTCTCCTTATCCGCCTCAGGTCCATGGGAAGTGTGTGTGCAGACACAACACTGCAGGTGATCACTGCGAGCACTGCGCCCCTCTCTACAACGACCGACCCTGGCAGCCCGCTGACGGACTGACGGGAGCGCCGCACGAATGTCGGAGTGAGTTGAACAAACACAGCTGCGGCTTTTTTTTCCAAATACAGGAAAAAATGATGATGAAATTTGTACCAAACATCAGCGCTGGAGTCAGACCGTCTGAGGAGAAGGGACCCGGAGAAACAGAAATGTCTTCAGCTGAAAGCGAGGGGCTCCAGCATGCTGAAAGTTGGCAGGATTTTTGAGGGAAAATGTTCCAAACATTCATTAGATATTAATAATGTAACTCCATTTCAGCCTCTCTTGTTTCTGATTGGTCTATTTCCTCCCTCTTCCCCCAGAGTGCAAATGCAACGGACACGCTCAGAGCTGCCGGTTTGATTGGCCGGCATGGCGCGAGTCCGGCCAGCGCAGCGGAGGCGTGTGCGACTGTCTGCACAACACCGAAGGAGGTCAATGTGAGAAATGCAAAGCCGGTTTCTACAGAGACCCTCAGCGTCCACAAACTGCCCCCGACTCCTGTAAAGGTAAGATACACAACTAACTAAATCAAACCAAAATGTGCCCGTCATGGAAATATAAAGTCTTGATAATTTAAAGCGGACTGAAAGTGCAGTATGGTGAAAAACAAACACCCAAGGTTCAAGTTCACTTTGAAATTTGTCACCTTGCATTTCCCTATTTAGTGACGCTCATTGTCCCCAGAGGATAAATCCTGAAAAGATAGAAGTCTGAATTTTCTCTAATTTTTGAAGAACAAGCAGCTTAGTTCAAACTGTGTCTCTCGTAAGGGGCAGAATTGATTTTGTAAATGTAAATTATATGTATGGAAAGTTCATCTAGTTCCATAGCGGGCATTTCTAAACTGCGTTGTTTTGAGGATTACCTTGTATAGCGCTTTTCTCGTCTTCTGACTACTCAAAGTGTTTTTACACCGCAGGTCACACCTACACATTCACACACTGATGGTAGAGGCTGCTGTGTAAAGTAACCATCAGGAGTAACTAATCCCATTCATACACATTCATACACCGCTGATGAAGCAGTGGGAGCAAATCAGGGTTAAGTGTCTTGCCCAAGGACACATCGGACATGTTGCTGCAGGAGCTGGGGATTGAACCAACTGAGCCACAGCCGCCCCCTTAAAGGCTTTATATGTGATTTTTCACACTTAAATATATAAATCAAGTATCTCCTCTGAAAATAACTCTGTGAGTCATGACTGTCTACAATGGTGTAACACCCGAGTCCCACTGTCTGTGATGTTTTCAGAGTTTTCAGAGTCCTATCTTCAGTTTGTTTACATCGCCAGGACGGCCGGCTGACTCCTCCCCTCGTGTATAAAAGTTGTTTAATTGAGGGACTAGAGAAAAGAAGAATAACATACTGTACTCACTGCTTAACTGTGTTTCTAGATCACGCTCATTTCAGGTAAATTTACATGCAGTGTGAAGATACCAGCATAATAAAGATCACTAGCATTAGCATGCTAACACAACAATGCAGCGCGAGTTGCTTTGGTTTCATGCTGGTGCTCAAGGGCGACATCTGCTGGATCAAAAAACACATATAAAGCCTTTAAAGTCATATGACATATTTGATAATCATAGTTAGGAGTGAAGTGAATCAAAAGGAGACAAATCTGAACAAAAAAACTCTTAAATAAGATTAAATGTTATTCAAAGTGACCACATGATGTGACCTCAGTGGCTTCATTTGGCACCTAGAGGAATTTCACTTGTAAATATCTGATGGGTTTTTTCTGATTCAGTGTTTTTTTTGTCAAACTGACAGTAAAGCCCTCAGTGTGACATGTAGAACACGCTGTGAAATGTCATAAATCATAATTAATCATACCGGTGTTGACAAAAATGTAGCTGGTGTGAATCCAAACATGAACCTCATACAGACCACACTGGCACGGTGCTCTCAGTCTCCGAAAGGAATGCTAAGGACGGGGATCACAAGCCGGGACGTGCAGGTTGGATAATACTGATTCCTGATGGGCACCTGGCTCTATGAGTGTGTGCGTGTGTGTGTGTGTGTGTGTGTGTGTGTGTGTGTGTGAGACGGCAGACGGCACCACGCTCCATCCGGGGTTTACACCGTAGTTAATCATCAGATGGTGGCATTCCTTCGTCTTGACTCAAATCTCAACACACAACCCCCTCCTTGTCCCAGCTTTGGCTTGTTTTGCAAGTTTTCATGTGTGACTCAGAGCTCGAGTTGCTGCGGGGTAATCATTGGAAGTACATATGTGTGGGTCTTTGTGTGTGTGTGTGTGTGTGTGTGTGTGTGTGCCTGGGGTTGATGCGGCGTGCTGCCCCCTCCGGTGATGAGACGAGTCTTAAGTAAACACGCGATAGTCATCCGTAAACACAGAGCGGCTACATTCTCCCTCTGATTATCTGTCAGGTCGACTCAGTGAGCTCAGTCCTGTAGGTATGCTGGACGCGCACATGATTACAAGAATGTAAATTGCACCAGATCTTATAAACACGTCGAGCTGGGAGTCGATGTGTAGCGCCAGATTCAGATTTTTTTGGGGGGTATTATTTATAGAAAACTTTGGAGCGCCGTCCCGCTAGAACTTAGCCAACCATGTCACCCCTTTGTCGACCAATCAAAATCAAGAAGTGGCAGGACTTCTAAGATCAACTTTGCCAACAACTAGAAAGTAGTTTACATGATAGTAGTCTTTACATTCTACAATTCACTTAGCAGACGTACATCAGAGCGTAAGAACAACACAAACAAGGATCTAGAAAAAAGGGAACAATGTCAGTAAGAGCAAACGATCAAGTATGTTACAGTACGTTATTCTTCTTTTCTCTAGTCCCTCAATTAAACAACTTTTTATATGTGAGGGGAGGAGTCAGCCGGCTGTCCTGGCGATGTAAACAAACTGAAGATAGGACTCTGAAAACATCACAGACAGTGGGACTCGGGTGTTACACCCATTGTAGACAGTCATGACTCACAGAGTTATTTTCAGAGGATATACTTGATTTCTATTATATTAAATGTGAAAAATCACATATAAAGACTTTAAAAGACACAGGCCCAAAAGCTGCTCCCACTGCTGTAGACTCTTAGTCTTGTTTGTGCCTAAACATCTTTAACCTTTTTACAGTTATACATTTATACCAACCTCTTATGACAGTACCAACCAGTAACCAAAAGGTCTGAGTGATTTAGAAGCTCTGATAGTTGATGAATTGCGTTTAGACTTCTTCCAGCGCAGAGGTATGCTAGCATGACACGGCAATACGTTTCAGCATGCTTGTGTCTCTTGTAATGAAAATTGGCACATCATCTTTTTTTGGAAAACAGACGTAATGTGAGGTTTGAATATCAGAGACCCGGGTAGGGTGTCATGCTTGTTTTTATTTGCTTTGGTGTTACTATGAAGGCTGTGATGGCTGATTGATGGAAAGTTAAGAGCAATGGCATGCTCATGGAGAACCCCCCCCCCGAGACGACGACGGTACAGGTTGTGAAATCCCTCGCTGTAGCCACTCGCTGACAATGGAGGAATTTCCCTCCATCGTGAGGAACATTTTTTTCATACCATCGGCTCCGAGGGGCCCGGGAAAGAAAACACTCTTGTCAGGCTCCGCGCAAGCTCATACACACAGAAAACACTTAAAGCCAGGGGGGAAAGTTACAGTGTTTGTTTACATCTGTGTGCGTGGGGCGGTGGGGGGGGGGGGGGGGGTTATTGTCTGCTCAGGCAGGTGTCTTGTCATGTCGCGCCACACGCTCTTTTAGGTTTTCATTGTTGGAGCTCCTTCAGCTATCTAACACACACATATTTACACACAGGAGTCCTTGTCTGTTGACCTCTTAGAAAGCTCATAAATTCTCACACCGTTATGTAAACACACACACTTACTGAACACACAGTCACATGTGTTTTGGATTTACATGGAACCAAAGTGGTGCTATAATCCTGGTTGATTATCGACATGTGCGGGCGGCTCAAACAATAGTGTAGATACAGACACAATTAAAATCTGAAGTCTTGTTTTTGCCGGGACGTGTCCCAGTGTTTATGTGTCTTGTGTTTGTGTCCTCCTGTCTGCACGAGTCTATAAATCTGATATTGTTTATGATTTTATTGATACTTTTCTTGCCCACTAGGGTCGTTTGATAAGGCGTTATCTTATCCGCGTGAAAGGATTTGTCTGATTAGCTGTCTGGTTTTGAGCTCAAGGGAGTTGATGTGACATCATTTCAACAGGAAGAAGACAAAGAAGCTCCTTCATTTGTTTTTTGTGACTTTTTATTGTCATCATGTCTTCACATTTTTATAAGCTGTGTGGTGTCAAAAAGGTTGTGGAAATACTAAAAATAACACTTACAATACAGAAACATGTATTACAGTTTGTTTAAAGAAGTAAAACTGAGGTAGCTTGGATCTGTGTTACATAAATTCATACATTTTTCCCTCCATCAAGGTTTTCTTCCCTTTCTCTACGATATTTAACATCTTTAGGAGGGGCAAACAAACAAGTTAGTTATATAAAATGAAAGAATAAAATTAAAATTAAAAGAAAGAGAAGAGAGTCAAAGGAGAAAGAAGAGAGAAAGAAAACACACAAAAAAACCACAAAAAAACACAGAAAAAAACACAAAAAACACAGAAAAAACACAAAAACACAAAAAAGTTACTGTCATTGGTTTTTTTGAGAAGGCTAATGAAGGAAACAGGGTCACTCCTAACCCCCGATAAAAGCAATATAAGCATCAACTTCAAACCTTAATCAGATTTGTGTTTTGAAAAGAGGAAGGACGATATTCTGTTTTCTTATTAAAGATGATTTCAGCAACACTGCAGCGAATTGGGCAGAAACTGTACTTCTAGTAGTTAGTACAACTTCACAGCCGGGTGTGGCTTTTGTCTGTGTCATATTGTCCAAGAAACGATGACATACCCAATCTACTAATAAGCTGAGATACTCCATAGAGAAGAGAAGTATGCAGTATGTCACTGTTACACCTTAAAAATAGCAGTTTCAAGATGGAGAGGGAAGAGTGCAGCGAGTCAGGCCTCAGGGTGTACAGTAAGTCTTTAGAGTCATTTACTGCCGGTTGAGCTTCAAGCCCCATTAAACAGCAGAGAAACGGCTCCAAACAACGCCCCCTCTCTTTGTCGCTCTCTCCCCTCGTCTTCTGCCTCTCCTCCAACTCGCCCTCGCCCCCCCTCTCCATCCCCTCCAGCTCCGTCTGCCCCCAAGATAGGGACAGATTTATGGGGGAGGCCTGACATCTCCTCCTGCAGGGCTCCTGGTCTGCAGCGTTGATAACAGTAGAAAGACTTGCAGACAGAAGTTTTCTCAGACTGTGTGTGTGTGTGTGTGTGTGTGTGTGTGTGTGTGTGTGTGTGTGTGTGTGTGTGTGTGTGTGTGTGTGTGTGTGTGTGTGTGTGTGTGTGTGTGTGTGTGTGTGTGTGTGTGTGTGTGTGTGTGCATATTGTTTTTGGAGGTTGTTTAAAGAACACACTATCAGCACACAATTAAGAGGGGACAGGAGGGAGGGAGAGAGCTGGAGAGGTCTGTGTGTGTGTGTGTGTGTGTGTGTGTGTGTGTGTGTGTGTGTGTGATAAGAAAAAGAGAGAGTCCTTTGTGTTACAAGCTCGAGCAACAATATCACTCAGACAAATAGAACAACTGTTGAATGATGAACTACTTAAGTCCTGGTAATAAATTGTTGTTTGCAGGTCAGCAAACAGTCAACTGGAGACCTTTAGACTCCATGTTTTCTGAAGGGATGTTTCCTTGTTTTTATAAATGATATATGTTATTTATTTTATGACTGTTTATTCTTTCATATGAAAAACTGTGTTAACAATGTTATTGGTCTGTCAGTCACTTTGTTTCAGTTTGAAATATTCGACAGATTGGATTGAAATTTGGTGCGAGCCTTCATAGTGACCAGAAGTTTGAATCCCTCTCATTTGGTGATTCTCTGACTTTTACGTTGGGTAGAAATTTGATGACAAAACTTCTCGACCAAAAGCCTGCAAAAACCAAAATCATCCAACATTTGTTGGGTCGAGTTGTTTGCAGCAGCCGTGTAAATCAGAAACAAAAAAATCAGCATAAACATTACAGAAAACAGGGATTATGAAAACATAAACTGCTGAAGTTTTCAACACATTAACATGTTAAGCAGCGGCGGGATTAGAAAGTATTAGGAGGAGTATAAATGACGGAAATTCTAGGAATTTTCTAAGGCGGATCCAAGACTTCTTTATTGATTGTTTCAGTCAAAATACAATCATCAACTTCAGCTCAAGTAAGTTTTTGTTTAAGCTAAAGAAGTCGAATGCTAAGCCATTTTCCCCCTGGTTGCTTTTTAGTTTCTTTAGACTGTATTTCACCAAATATCGTTTCAATATTTCTCCTACAATTTACTTTAATATGTCAGAAATCAAATACCAAATTCCCGTTTTCTAAAATTCATATTTCTGAGTTACTAAGCATCTCTCAAGCATTTCTCACACGAGTATAACTGCACACAGTTTACCTTTAGTGTAACAAAGAAACATGTCCACATTTTCCAGTATGTGTCAATGTTTTTTTCAAGTAGCACTAATTGCAAAGTAAAGCTGGGGCTGATGGGAAAATCATTGGCTTTTCAATTGTAAAGTACAAGAATATTATGGTGATGCAGGAATAAATAAATAAAGTCAGAGTATCATTCAAATCAGTAAAAATTATCCTCTGAGGACCAAGAATTTGACAGAAAGTTAAATTAACAAATGTGCAAAAAGCTGCTTTAAATGCCTTCAAATCCTCATCCTCACTTCTTGTCTCTCACAGAGTGCAGCTGCCACCCGTTGGGTTCGATGCCCTTCCACCTGGCCGACGGCTCTCTCTGCGACCCCTCCAACGGAAACTGCATCTGTAAACCCGGAGTCGGAGGAACCCATTGTGACAGGTGCATGGTGGGATACTGGGGCTTCCATGAATACGGCTGCCGTCCATGTGATTGTGCTGGAGACTGTGATCCGTTCACAGGAGACTGTATGTTGGGGTAAGTAAAGATTTTAAAAAAAAATCAAATAAGTACATTTTAAAGTTCTCCCGATATGTTTACATTCTTGTGTGTTTGTGTTTTTTGCAGGTCTGATCTCGACCTGTACAATTTAGAGGGAAACTCAAGTGAACCGGTCAGGATCTTCAGAGTCGATGAACTCTTCTCTGCCCTCCACTACTCAGGTGAGATACAGAGTGTGTGTGTGTGTGTGTGTGTGTGTGTGTGTGTGTGTGTGTGTGTTTTCCACCCTCCTCCACAGTCTGGTGACCAAGCATTAATGGTTAAGTAATGAAAGTCTTTACTTGCCTTAAAAGGACATGGAACAAAGATGAATGTGTGCGTTAGTGATTTTTGTGTGTGTGTGTGTGTGTGTGTGTGTGTGTGTGTGTCCCTTCTCTTAGACCCCCCAGCACCATGTAACTGCAGCTTTCATTGGCACATTCCTCACTGGACACACACACACACACACACACACACACCTGATTGCATTCTTAAGACGTCGTGCACAGCATCTGAGACCACACACGCAAACACACGCACACACTCACACATCGGTTATGTTAAAAATATTAATCCGTTCCTGTTTGCCTCCTGCAGAGAAGTGTGAGTGCAAAGAGCAAGCCCTGACCAACAGTAAACTCTTCTGCACCATGAATTATGCATACGGTAAGATCATCATCTCATTCAAAGATTTTTTTTTTCCCCTCTACAATACCTTGTGCTTTTTTTTGTCCTGGAAACACATAAACAATTTGTCACATTCTTAATTTTTGTTTGAAAGTTCCTCCGAGTTTCAAACATGTCGAGTTGTAGCACCGTTAGCGCCTTCCTTAAAACAACCGACATGTTTACAGAGGATGTTATGATGCTCATGTCCTGTCTTGTCTTTTAGTCTTGAAGGTGAAGGTGCTGTCAGCCCATGATAAAGGTTCCCACGCTGAGGTGGAAGTCAAAGTTCAGAAAGTGCTCAGCCAGAACACCAAGGTGAAGATACAGCGAGGTCGGGTCACTCTTTACCCCGAGTCCTGGACCGCACGGGGATGCACCTGTCCAATCCTCAACCCAGGTCAGACAAACTCTGCTTTAAATGCACAAATTTCCCCCACGGTGGATCAATAAAGTTTATCTTTATCTTTATCTTGTGCAGGTTAGAGCTGCTGTTTTTAACAGGCAGATACAAAAAGTGCCAGGATTAAAAAAAACACCTTAAAACATTTCACATAAACCTGTAATAACAGATTTTTTTTAATCGGATCAAGATATAAATGGTGAAGAAAAATCATCATGTTTTCATCAAACAATACGAAAAACAACATTTTGATTCAGGAAAAAAAATCCTGCAAACATTTTTTTAAATCATTGTCAAGTGTGTTTAATGTATTGTGTCTGCTGTTGAAGTAAAATATGAAAGGATTTAGATCTTCTAGACTTTCTCTAGTTTGAAACCAAAGTTTCATTTAAAATATAGGCAAGTGAAAAAAAGTTTCTGATTATTTTTTATCAACGGGTGAGCGAAAGACTCTGATAGTTTGAGAGATAGAACGGTCTTCTTCATGAGAGTATCTTACTGAAAATGTGTAAAATGTTATGAAGTAATCGAGGTAACAAACATGAATGCAAGCCAGTTAGATAATTATGTGTATGCTTAGCTATGAAGAGCAAGTCTAAGCAGTTTTTAAGAATAAGTCATACAGCTACAAAGTTTCATTGGAAAACTGAAATTGTCTTTCAAAAACATAAGCGACTCTGACCATTGTCCTCATTTCTCAGGGGTTGAGTACCTCGTGGCGGGCCACACGGACCGTAAGCAGGGCCGCCTCCTGGTCAACATGAAGAGCTTCGTCAAGCCCTGGAAAGCCAGCTTGGGTCGCAAAGTCCTCACACTACTCAAAAAAGACTGCAACTGGTAGATTGACCAGTAAAATCACTGGAGGACAGGTTGGACCCGATGGACAGAAAAGACTGTTATTTCAAGGAACACAAACGCAGAAATGTGTGTTTTTCTTGTCCTCCAGTTGTGAAATACTGAAATGCAAAAGGTTTGAGGGGCTGAATTGCGATGATTGAAGCCTGTTTGATATTTCTGCTGTCGTCCAGTAAGAGCTAGCAACGGACTCCTGTGGGATAAAAGCACACAAGACAAATTTTTTATACAAAAAGACTAAATCTCTTCCTCTCTGCAGCACTTTAGCCCTAGATGGACTGAGGGAATTTGGACACACAAAGAGAGAAAGACTTAACACACACACTCTAAATGACCCCCTGACATGGACTGTGGACGGAGCACGTCCAATCCCTGATACGCTCCATACACACATTTACACACAAAGACAGCAGTTTGTGTGTGTGTGTGTGTGTGTGTGTGTGTGTGCTGCAGATGTAATGTGCAAAGCACGCGGAGAGCGACGCTGAACAAGCCATACAAGCCACTACAGGTGGTTAAACCTTAGCCAGTCCAGGTGTGCCTGTGTTGAAATCAGAGTGAATGGGATTTACCCTGAACGTGAATGTATTTGCCTGTTTTTCAAATGTGTGTGTGTGTTTGTGTGCGAGTGTGTGTGTGTGGGACAGAGAGAGAAAGTGGATGAATGCGGAAGTTTATTACGAGCACAGTCCAGATTCAGTCCGGCTCTTTCTGTAGATTTTGTGTAAGCTTTCAAATACAACCGTTCCAATGTTTAAAATGCAGCATGTTGTGTATTGATTCATCTCATATCACAGATAAATCCAGAACATTCTTTGTTATTGCTTCCTTTGTGCTCTTGTACAGTATTATTTGTATATATCTATATAAATATAATGTTCTTCTTTCTCCCTCTGTTTAATTTGTTTTTTGTGCGAGGAAATATGGAAGACATAATTCCAGATTATTATCAATCAATCTTTACTTGTGTAGCGCCAATTCATAACAAATGTTATCTCGAGACACTTTACAAAAAGCAGGTAGAAGACCTTACTCTTTGATATATTACAAAGACGGTACGGACCAATCAGGTACCAAAATATGCCAGACAGTTATAAAATGATGGTTGAAGCAAGCGGTTAGCCTGACTAGCTCATCTAGCTACTTAGTCGAGACAGTAAAACCGACAATGAGGACATTTTTTAAGGAAAGGGATTCATCTGGAACCTCTCCGAGTTAATTTCTGACTTTTTTTTTTATCAACTTGTGTGTACCAAAATGCTTCGTTATTATACAGCCAATCAGCGCAAGAAAATGTTTGACTGAGCAGCTAGGCTAGTTAGCTAGTTCTAACATCTGAATGCGTTGGCTTCTAGATTCACAATAATACACAGACTTTTTGTCAGAACATAATTTAGGATACCAAAGTAAACATTTAAAGGTGTCAACTGGAAAGCATTCTCACAGAAGTTTGTAAAGCCGGTGGTTGTTGTCAGCTGGGAAGCATACGCGCAGATTAGCATTCTAGCTAGCTGCTACTCGACTACCCATATCGTTCACTTTGTTTTTGCTTCTCAGTTCGTAGTGGTCCATCAGGATTCTATTAGTTTTGTCTTATAGTTATTAAAGGCTTTATATGTGATTGTTTTGATCCAGCAGATGTCGCCCTTGAGCACCAGCATGAAACCAAAACAACTCTCGGTGCATTGTTGTGTTAGCATGCTAATGCTAGCGATCTTTATTACGCTCGTATCTTCACACTGCATGTAAATGTACCTGAAATGAGCGTGATCTAGAAACACAGTTAAGCAGTGAGTACAGTATGTTATTCTTCTTTTCTCTAGTCCCTCAATTAAACAACTTTTATACACGAGGGGAGGAGTCAGCCGGCCGTCCTGACGATGTAAACAAAGTGAAGATAGGACTCTGAAAACTCTGAAAACATCACAGACAGTGGGACTCGGGTGTTACACCCATTGTAGACAGTCATGACTCACAGAGTTATTTTCAGAGGATATACTTGATTTCTACATTTAAGTGTGGAAAATCAAATATTAAGACTTTAACAAACTGTGCAACATTTTTACAGTTAATCTTGGTGTTCCTCTTCAGAACAAGTATTTTCTTGTCCTGTTGTTGTTAGCCTTCTTAGCGTTGTAGCTACATACGCTCTGGTAAGACTTTGATAAACTCAGTTGGAGAAAGACATTACATAACTCAAACAAACATCGCCCAAACTATAAATTTCTGAACAAAGTTGTACAAAACCTAACTTTGCAGCAGTCTGTCTTTGTCTTTGAAACCTTGTTACCAGACACACTCACATGAACTCTGAACAACAGTTGATATAATCGCCCAGGCCTTGAAATACTTCCCATAATTTGGACAAAAATATCCTTATCACCCTGCTCTCTTTCTCATGCACACACACCTCCTGTTCCTTTCTCCTTGTCCCTTCAGATTAAGTCATCCATCACTCTTGCTCCCAAAACACTCTCCCGCACATTCACACCGTGCCACAGAATGTAGACCATAACAGAGAGGCCGAGCGAGCACACACACTCTGTTTGGGTTTGGGCGCTCTGCGTCTTCTTCACCGACTCCTCGCCTGCTTGCAGTGACGTGGTTGGCTGAGAGGTGTGGACGCATTCCTGGCACGTCAAGCAGGGCTCCGCGGCAGGCCGGGTTAAAGGTCCCTCACCTGTCTGCCGGCCGCACCCTCCCGAAGGAGCGGTGAGCGGGAGTGGATGTTTTTATCACAGCTGACTCCGGATAGCCTCTTGTACCCACATTTCCTCGTTCATGGCCCCATTCACAGATACGGGGCAGAGGGGTCACGGCTCCTCCTGGTTTCTGCCAGGCTGTTTCCAGACAGCAGGGGAGGGTGAACGAGTGCATACAGGAAGAGGAATCTGACTTCAAGGAATGCCTCAGTCAGTGCAAAGGGGGGAACAGTAAAGTACTGTACATGAGGCATTTCTACTGTACTTCTACTGTTCTTCTACTCCTACACATTTCAAAATGAAAATAATAATGTTTATTCATTACTTCACAGAAAGTAATTTTATATCTTAAAAGCACATGACGGGGACGCCATTGGCCTAGTGGTTGGTTTGTGCGCCCCATGTGCAGAAACTGTGGTCTTCCGGGCGGGCATCCTGTGGCCCTTTTGTTGCATGTCCTTCGCCTTTCTCTCTCTCTCCCTGATTTCCGACGATATCCACTCTCATGTCTCTCAAATAAAGTCATAAAAACAAACATTGAACAAAGGACTTTTAATCTTTCAATGCCAACAAGTTTACTTATCACTTTGGCAATGCAGCATCAAACAGCATTTTCTCCAGTCATAAAAAAAAGGACGGATCCGATGAGTGTCACTCTTGTTGTCGAGGAATTACAACAAAAATGGGATCGCATTCAGGAGGATATGTCGGCCTCCATTCATTGGGTTGGAGAGGACGAAGGCCATGTCAGACTGAAGATAGAATCAAGGGTAACAATTCTGGGTGACATCAACACAAAAAAATGTGCATAGCAAGACACATATTTTTCCATCTTCCCTGCCCCATTAATCATCTTTGACATCTCAGACTTACATTGTGGAGGGGGCTTAACCCTTGGGTTGGGAACCACTGGATTAACTGTATTAAAAAATAATTAAAAATAACTCCACCAGCGATCCAATAAAGCATCAGTATAATCATATAATAATTCATATATGGGGACATTTTTCTGATTTGGGAAATTTTCATCATTGCGTTGGTTCTTTTACTTGATTATAACTGAATTCTTCTGATACTGTAACGTGGTGCAGGTTAGCCGGGGAAGGAGGTGTTTTCTGTGGTGGGAACCGGCCTTAAAGAGAAGACGCAACAGGGAGCCACAAACACATGAACTGCTGCAGCTGAACCCTGTATCTCCCCTCCCTCTCTCTCTCTCTCTCTCTCGCTCTCTCTCTCTCACTGTGTCTCTTGCTCGCTCGCTCGCTCATTGTCCCTAGATTGACTGGCCTTTCTCAGCCTGTGATGGAGATGTCCTGTGGGGGGTTGCATGGTGTGGGAAACTAGTTGATGAATGAGCGTTTGGCATGCTTACACACATGCATAGTTTGCTCCTGTATAGTTAATGTGTGACTATGTTATTGTAGTAATGGCAAAATGCATGCATGTGTGTGTATACGTGTGTGTGAGTCCCTGTATGAACACAATGCTCCACTTGTGTTGCTATAGAATGGAGTTATGGCCTTTGTCCTGTCAGCATTCTTGTGTTGCTATTGGCCTCGGAGTGCATGGCAGCTCCCGCAGGCTTCGGGGACAATAGCCCCCCCCCCCCCCCCCCCTCCCTGACACCCCCTTTTCTGCTCGCCGGGAGTCACAATGCCTCTCTTCGGGAGCACCCAGCACCCTGAGACAGACGTCCTGAAAATGCTGTGCTATTATGGGTGTCACACAAGTATCAGCACCCAAAAGCTCTTGAGGAGGAGAAAATAAAGCAAAAGGGTATTTTCTCTTGGGGAGGAAGTGTGTTCCGGATAAGTGAGTCATGTGGTCAGTATTATTCCATCAGCTGTGATTCACTTACAGAGGAAATGAGAAGATTATTGTCAAAGGAACCCATACTAAAGCTCCTTTAGTGGTTTTGTAAGGATGGCCCGGATAAGGCACAAACTAAGGACAAACCTAGTGTGAGGTGATTTTTGAAAAAAAAAAAAAATCTGATGAATCATTATTTTGAAACAGGAAGAAAATCTGACAAACAAAACATTTAATATTGTTAATCTGCAAAAGACAAAAGCTAACGTTAGCATTCAGACACTAATAGATAGCTATACGCTGAGATGCAGAAGTGTGATATGATCATAGACTGTAAATATTAAAAGCCATAACCTGAGTGATGTCACTCATCTGTTCCTGAAGGTGGCGGTCGCGATGCTGGAAATGCTGTCTCACCCTAACTTTCAGACAACCATAACCTCCTTCATGAAATTAGACGAGATATTGCAGTGAATTCCTCTTTTCCTACATCACTTCTTAATGATTATTAGCAGAAAAATCAACGAGCAGCTGAAATATGGAGGGAAAATGGTCATATTTAAAACATCATATTTGATAACCTCATAGCAACCGTCAAAAAAAAGACAACATTAGCATTAGTGGCTAGCATTATAGTTAGCTAGGAGGTAACTGGAAGCTGTAGTGTGACATATACAGTGCTAGCTTTGATGAGGTTGAATGCTAGCGTTAGCTGTTGATAAGCGGTAGCTATGGGTTATCAGGGCCGGCCCGTGGCTTAGGCAGTATAGGCAAATGCTAGGGGCGCTTAAACGTCCATAGGGGGCATCCTGGTTCCCTGAAATGAGCGAGGAAGAACAGTTGACTAAAATAAGAAGAAAAAGAAGGAAACATGTGTTTAACTTAATGTTATTTTATCTGCATCACCTATTTAAAAAGGTCCTATTTTCCCTGCTCGGTCGTTACCTGCTGTCTGTAGGGGAGGAGGGCAGACTAGTTATCAGACGTGATTGACACTGATCGTAAAGAAAAGCTGTAAAACATAAAGCTGTAAGCCAGTTTTCTTGAAGTGTATGAATATTGCGATTGGTGGTGGAATTGGTTGCAATACAAGGGTACCAGTATCAGCTAAAATCTTGCCTAGGGCACCAAGTGGGTTAGAGCCGGCTCCGGGTGTAATGCTTGTAAAAGCCTCGAACACAGAACCGTAACAGCTTTCGGGGTTCCAACTTTGAGTTTACCATCAGAGGGAAATAGCTGCCATGTTATCTGCAGGTGAATGACATGTATAGACTTCAGTTTGGTTTGACAGAATCTGGTTTTAAATATCGAGGCACGAGTAAGCTATAGCAAACACCTGTTGTATTTTACATAATCAGTGAGTGTGTATTCTTTTTTTTTTTTAAACAGTCTGTTTGCTTTTATTACACTCAGTATATAAACATTGGCTATTTTAGGGTAAAGGCCACTCATGCTGCTGACTCATGCTTCTCTATCAACACCACAGACCTTCCATCCTCGATGTTATTAATTAAGAGAGAGGCTGTGTAGCATGTTTGTGTTGAGTGTTCACCTTGTACTTTAGGGCACAAGATTACCCCGTGGCAAACTTCTTACTTCACCTTAAAATATCCAGCTCTGTCCTTAGAAACCATCTTCTTTAAACAAAAACACACACACACACGCATCAGGAATGTTTCTCTATCGGACGAGCATCACAGCACGCCAGAACAGGGAGGGTGATGTTGACGGAGCAGGAGTGAATCAGACGCTACTACTGATTAGTATATAGCCATGCAAACAAGGGGCCTGATGTCATCGAGTCATTATGTACGATCCCATGCATCAACGAGACAGGACAGAGAGAAAACACGCACTTATGACGAGCTCGCTTTAAAAAACAGATTAAAAACATCAGAAGCTGTCGAGCTGCCAACGGTAACATGAAGGCACACTAACCAAGGTAGAAATTACAGGAGACGTTCTTGTTTACAGGCTGTAAAGCGTTTCTCCCGGGCTTCACCTGTGTTTTCACCTGCCACAAAACCAACAGCGTATCCAGCTGTATTCACACCACCATGAAACCACCGGAAAGGCTTCCTTTCACTCAAATGATCAAGCACCTTTAAATGTAAGAAGGTTTTAAAGCTGCATACTTTGTTTTTTTTATTTTTTGATGAAATTCTATTCTTAAGAGATCCAGGTTGTCAGTCAGTTTTGTTAGTCCATGCTAAAAACCCCTTTCTATTGCATGACCTGGTAAGGCATCATGCCTACACACTAGACGATGGGAGACCACAGACATAAGGACCCTAACCCAGTTTTAACATTATAATCCTCCAAACGCACGGACCATACAGCAAGACCACGTGACCACACATGGACTTTATATGCTTTATATGCGATTTTTTTGATCCAGCAGATGTCGCCCTTTAGCACCAGCATGAAACCAAAACCACCCGCGCTGCATTGTTGTGTTAGCATGCTAATGCTAGCGATCTTTATTATGCTGGTATCTTCACACTGCATGTAAATTTACCTGAAATGAGCGTGATCTAGAAACACAGTTAAGCAGTGAGTACAGTATGTTATTCTTCTTTTCTCTAGTCCCTCAATTAAACAACTTTTATACACGAGGGGAGGAGTCAGCCGGCTGTCCTGGCGATGTAAACAAAGTGAAGATAGGACTCTGAAAACTCTGAAAACATCACAGACAGTGGGACTCGGGTGTTACACCCATTGTAGACAGTCATGACTCACAGAGTTATTTTCAGAGGATATACTTGATTTATATATTTAAGTTTAAAAAATCACATATAAAGACTTTAATGTTGCAACAAATAAGATGGAGCTAATTTGAATTATTTTGAGTTTTTGAAGCCCCAACGATGGCAGTCACCATATTGGAAATGCTGTCTCAAACTGCCCTTCGGTAAGAGTAGAAACAGACTAAAAAGGGGAGCTGAGGCGGGACTTTAGCGTCCTGACCAAAAGATACAACACACCCTCCTTTCAGTCAACTCAGGTTGAATTAGGTTAAGCATAACTCTGAGCCTTAAAATAATTAAAACAGATGAGTTATAAAAGAAAGTTAAACCTGTAGTGTGATCCAATAAAAAAACGAGTTAAAGAGATCAAAACCGTTCTTATACCAGGTTGTAAACATTTTTATTTCTGCTGTAAAGATTGACACTTTAACATGAGATCTATGAGGATTCCTTGACTTTTGCGGCGAGCCTCAAGTGGACACTGAAGGAACTGCAGTTTATTCACACTTTAGGCTTTGGCTTCTTTTTTAACACTGGAGGTTGCTGCTTGGTAAAAATATGATTAAGAGGAAAATAGATATATTAAAAGTTAAGTACGAGTATTACACTTCATCAGTGAATATGAATTATAGTTGTATCCACCTGATAATGTACAATTAATTTTAAATACATTTATATCAGTTTAAACTCCACAAATGTAATTATTTTAACATGAAGATAACTTGATCTGCTTACTGTTCCATGTGGGGTCGGTATTGTACCCTGAGGTAATACCTTGTTAAAGTTAGAGTCATAAACCAAAACAACAAGCTGAAAGAGTTGTGATAAATCTCTGAGATATACGATTTGAATTAAACCACAAAATACCCTCTAAGTGAGTCAACACAAGGTCCTCAGATGAACAGTAACAGAAAAATATGTGTTTATGAGAGAGAGAGAGAGAGTACAGATGAAAAGAGGACAGGGAGAGAGAGGGGGAGGGAGGGAGGGAGAGTTAGCATGTGTGGACATGAAGGAGGTGAAGTGCCCGGGGACATAGAGGCAGAAAAACATTAGAGGTGATTCGCAGGCATCGCATGGCACATCAACACATACCTCTTTCTCTAAGTCACTCAAAAACGCCCCTTAATCTCTCTCAAACACACACACACCTCAGGTCCACTGACAGACACACACGTATAAAAACACACATACACCCATTACCAAACACACCCACACACTCTTTTAAGGAGAGATTTAAAAGAAGGCTCAGGAGATGAAAAGTCCTGCTTCAGAGACAATTATCAGAATGAAAATCAACACCTTTATTTTCCTAAAATGGAAAACGCTTACCTGATATAAAATACCATATTATTTATACGGGGATTCATAACAGTAGCACTACTATTCTCTGTTAGTTGATCTTTTTCTCGGACAGTAGACAGTGCAGTTGTTGTCGTCTTCAACTGATAGGATCTCCTCACTGAGTGCCACCAGCCCCCATTAACCAGCATGCAGTGCTACACCTGCATCCCACAGCAGGACACAGCACTTTAACATACCTGCTGAAGGTAAACCACAGGGCCAGAGGGCAGAGGAAAACATACACACCATGAAAGAAAGGCTTTTCAGTTAGTTCAATCATTTATCCAAGTAAGACAAGAAAACATGCATAATATTGACTTTAGCATGAGTGGACGTACAAAACTTGACACACAGGTGTGCATCTTTATGTGTAAAGGACATTAGACATTGATGCTGACATGTGCAAACTTACATTTTAAGGATTTTTACACATTCGATTAATTTTCATTCCACTTAATAATATGGTTTTATTTGAAATTGAAGTACTATTCATACCTATTTTTACAATAATGGGTAAAATATATATTTTTAAATTATTTTAAATTTAGTTTTTTTGTTTTTTGAAAGGCAGCTTGTAATAGATTATATTTCCTATGACAAGAGTGGGTTATTTAAGTGTGTCTTGCTAAAAGAACATGTAAACTTGTCGTGCATCAGTCCCAGTTGTACATACTTCTTTTCTTTCAGTGTTTTTGCTGCTGCATGATGATGACAGATTATAGCTCATCTCAACATGGAATTGGTATGATGACAATATTTTTTGACCTTTTTTTAAAACAATAAAACAGCCAAACTAATTATTTGTATGTGTAAGCCTGACTCTGATTTAAAAAAAAAAAAGAAAATGATGCAACACTTCCCTCTAGCGGTGCGAACATGTATTACCTATATTTTAATTGTCAGTGACCAGCAGTGATTTTTTTTTGTCCAGTCCTTGTTTGGCTTGTTGATTGTTCATATGAAAACTGACATTTTGACACATTCAATTCAATTCAATTCAAAAAACTTTATTTGTCCCCGGGGGGCAATTCAAGTGATCGGACTAACAGATGTAAACAGATGTAAACAGATGTAACCAGAACTATGTGCAGTAAACGAGAAATAAATATATATAGAGAGAGCTTTGTGCAAGTAGGCAAATACTAAATGATGAGTTAATAAGGTGCATAAACATGGCACAATAAACACAAGTATGTACACCAAAAGTAACACAATTTAAAAACTGACAGGAAAACTAAACACTCCTAAACCCAAAATCTGACAGTCTTATTAGTATGAAATACAAACACTTATTTGAATGTAACAAATATTTGAAAAAATAGTTTTAAAAGAAAGTAAGTCATATTTTCACTATTACAATCATCATCATACTGATCCAACTCCGCTGTCACAAGGACAGATACGGGAAATCTTTCTTACCGAAGGCCACAACTCCTAACTGTACAACAGCTCACCTCATGCGAGCAGAGAACTGTCATCATGATCATATCTGTCTCTCCTTTACTGTCATCTGTTCTGCACATGTTACATTTACAAATGATCCCTGCACTCATGTTCACTTCATTTGTCTGTCTACTCTCCTTTATATTGTATAGTTTCTGCTGATAATGTTTACACTCCTGCACTTTAACTTATGTCAATACTGTCCATCTACAACTCTGTTTTTGCACATTTACATTCAATCTTTCATATTTAAGACTAGTAATGCTAGTTAAATCCTGGTTGTATATATTCACATTCTTAGTTTTTATATTTTTAGTGCTTATTTACTTTGTATTTAATATTATATTGTGTTTAAATTTGCTAATATTGTGTTTTTTACTCATATGTGTGTTTGATAACCTGCTGCTGTAACGCCACAATGTCCCAGTTTGGGATCAATAAAGTAATTCTATTCATCATCATCATCATCATCATCATCATCACCAACAACAACAACAACAATGACGTCACGGATCGGGGACGCGCTCGAGTCCACACCACGCGACAGGGACCGACAAGATGGCGATGATTTTAGAAACAGAGGAGCTGCTGCCGTGAAGGAGAGGCTCGGTATGCTGCTTTCTTTACCCACACAGTCGTTATTTGGTTATGCGAAACAGCGGGGGGACGCCACGCGTGTTGACGTTAAAACACGTGTGACATGTCGGCGTTTTAACGCGAGAGCACCAAACTTGTTGCGATTATCAAAGATAGCCTGCTAGGCAGCTATGTAGCATGCTAGGCTAACGTTAGCAGGGCAGCTAGTCCTCACTAAGCTGTTGAGTAAACACTAAATATAATCCGCAGAGCTGATAGGAGGGCGCGTATTTGTCTGGACTCTCTCGTGTGTTTAATTCTATTTTGCATAATTACTTTGCAAGGGTTTCCTTTTGGTATTAATTGTATTTTCGTTTAATTCAGTGTTTTAATCTCCTCTTGGTTGCACCGCTTTGCACGCTAACTAGTCCGCTAACCCCGTGGAGGTAATTAAAGTTGTCCTCATTGTGCTGCTGTTATTCGGTGGGTTCTGCTTTAGGGTTAAACAAGCTGGTGGTATTTTATCCTGCCTGATTAAAGCTGTGTTTCAGCATCAGGTTGTGTTTGTGTGCAGACACTCTGCAGCATGCTGCAACAAGGACTCACCAGGCAAAGCGCGCTAACTCACTCACTTCACTTCAGACACTTTTAGAAACTTCTCACAGACTCATCTCACTGTTGATCCTGCTACACGCCACACTTTCCCCCCCCACACACTAAAACACTGGTTCAAGTTGCGAAACAGTTGTAGTAAAGTAGTGTTTACTGTCAGGTGCAATGTGTTTATTAACCCGTTGCAGATATATGAAAGTGTGTTGTGTTTAGGTGTGTGGGAAATTCAAGATTTGTGTTTTTCACATGAAATGTAAAAGACTGTTCTGCAAGGATATGCAATAACACTCAAATTGCTAATTCACATATATACAGTAATATAGTGTAAAATTAAAAAACATAGACTAATGTAAACAGTGTGAAGTGTGCAGGTTGGATTGTGTGGTGTGTAAATGTATAAAGTAAATATGCATGGCTGTAAATTGCTGTTAAAGTAAGTTTGTTGCAATTAATCAACCCTGCATCCTGACATTTGGTCATGGACTCAAATAATAATAATCAGACGCTGAGCTTTGAGCATTTTTTTGCTTTTATAAAAGTGTTTTAAAAATGTGATTATAGCTAGGGCTGCGAAATATATCGAGTTTTTAAGATATATCGATATATTTTCAAGCATGATATAGGGTAAGACGATATCGTTAATATGGATGTAGTTTATGTTGCATTAAAATAACGTTACAGAGGTGCCAGGTCACCTTTTTCTCATCTCACTGATGATGACTGACTGTCTGTCCCTCTTAACCCTGCTCCTCCTCTCTCTCTCTTTTATTGTATTTTTATTTTATAATATTACTTTTTAAATTCACAAACAGGTTTTTTATTTTTCCATGTGTTTTCACTGTTAATAAAACACATATCGCTGTCGAGTATCACCACTCAGCTAAACAATATGGAGATATGAGTTTTGGTCCATGTCGCCCAGCCCTAATTATAGTAAGACACTATGTTGAAACATGATGTTTTCTTGCAATCCAGCTTTTGATTTGTTACATTACTTTCCCTATCTGTTACCCAACTCCAGTGGTCAATGTTTCTTCACTTGGTTGGTTTCCCCTCTCTCTTTCTTCTCAAAGGTAGTCCTGTAACCAGACAAAAGGTTGCACCTCTTTGAAAGCTCACTCCCCCTTTGTTGGATAATCTTACTTCTTTTAACTCGATGGGGGTGTTGAAAGTGCTCTGCCCACTCAAGGATCCCCAACTTTGAGTTGAGCCCCCTTAGGGGTTGTGAAAAGATGCCAGAGTAGGCCAAGTGGAGACTGGTTGTTGGGTTCTTGTGTCTTGAAAGTGACGTCAAATATTTTCTTCAGTTACTTTTTTGCAGTGTGATGCTTTAAAAAACTAAGACCGGCAGTTTCCCTATCCTCTTATCCATCACCTAACAAATTTTGATAGAGGTCACCTCTGCTATTACATTTGCTCCGTCTGAGTTTTTATTTCTTATTCACATCCTCTGGAAAAGCTCCAAGGTTTGTCATGTTGATCCTTCCTTTTACATCCTGGTTCAACAGTCCATGATAAGTTACACACCTTTCTGTCTTTCTGTGGATTTGCCTGGCAGCACTCACTGCAGTCATGTTTATCAACCAGACATTTTACTGTTGGCCCGGGTGTGTATGTTAAATCCTGCGTAGCATCTGGCTGTTTGCCACAGTTTTATGTGTGTGTATCCATGGCCTCATAAAACACAGTCATTGTAGGTTAGACGAAGTGCCTTTGAGACAATAATTACTTTGTGTTGCAATGTGTTTATCCAATTTATTTTGCGCAATTTTTTCTGGCCTGTAAATGGATAACAAGATAATCAAATAAATGTTTAATCACCTAGCTCTCTAAAATCTTAAATCCGGGATTTAAAATTCATTTTGACTCACTACATCTGTTCTCTCTCCCCTTCAGACACTGCCATGCCTTGGGAAGGGTCCCATTTCTCTGCCCACCATGGTAACCATGGTGATATGAAGCCGGTGTGAAGCTTTGACACACACACTACTCAGACTTACACATAGACGGTCAGCTACTGACTGACACAGCCAGCCAGCCAGCTCGGTTGGCCGGCGTGTGTAATGGACAGGTGTAAGCATGTGGGGCGGCTGCGGCTTGCCCCCGACCACTCCATCCTCAACCCCCAGAAGTGGCACTGTGTGGACTGCAACACCTCCGAGTCCATCTGGGCCTGCCTGGGCTGTGCTCATGTGGCGTGCGGGCGCTACATTGAGGAACATGCTCTGCAGCATTTCCAGCAGCAGCGCCACCCGTTGGCTATGGAGGTTAATGAACTTTACGTATTTTGCTATTTGTGCGATGACTATGTCTTGAATGATAACGCCACAGGAGACCTGAAGCTACTTCGCAGTACGCTCAGCGCCATCCAGAGCCAGCGCTATGAGGTCACCACCCGCAGTGGGCGTACCCTCCGCTCTACAAGCGCTGCTCCTGACGCCGTCATCCCGTGCGGCGCCAGCGAGCTGCAGCTTAGAGACGAGGACAGGATGTTTACTGCACTTTGGCATCGTCGCAGGGCGCTGATGGGACGCATTTTTCGCTTCTGGTTTGCGCTGACCGAATGTGGAAAGAAGAGGGAGGAAGAGGAGAGAAAGAGGGAAGAGGAGGAGGAGCAGAAAAGGGAGGCGAGGGAGAGGAGGCGGGCTCAAAAGAGGCAGCTACAGGAGGACCTGGAGAACGCTCCGCTCAGGAAGAGTCGCCGTTTGCGCCGGAGGAGCCAGAAAGTTGCAGAGGCTGCAGTCACACCGCCGTCTCGGAGGACGCCGTCTAGGAGGGCTCGCAAGAAGACAAAAACCCCCGAGCCTCCGTCTGTTACCCGCAGGCTGAGGACCCGAAGCCCCGCTACACCCAAGAAAGCTGTGCGGACTAAAACGGTCCAACCTACTCCCAGAACACGAAGCCGTTCTTCTGCCACCAAATCTAAGCCCAAAACTCCCACAGTGACCCCCCGTTCTGCTCAGACTCCTGTTCGCCGCAAGCAGAGTACCAAACAGGGCGGTTCCCCCTTCAAACGGCACCCCACTGTCACGCCTGGAGTGACGGGCCTCAGAAATTTAGGCAACACCTGTTATATGAACTCTATCCTGCAGGTTCTGAGCCACCTGCACGTTTTCAGGGAGTGCTTCCTGCGCCTGGATCTGACCCAGGCGCTGGAGCTGCTGGCCTCTGCTGTCCACGGCCAGCTGACAGGGAAGGTCACATCCCATTCCCCCCTGACCCAAAGGAAGGGACCCCAGGCTAGCTCGGGCTCGGGAGCTGGGCTGAGCGGCGGGGCCTCGAGGTCCCGTAGCATGGAGCTGATACAACCCAAAGAGCCCAGCTCGAAGCACATCTCCCTCTGCCACGAGCTGCACACCTTGTTCCAGGTTATGTGGTCCGGCAAGTGGGCGCTGGTCTCGCCTTTCGCCATGCTGCACTCGGTGTGGCAGCTGATCCCGGCGTTCAGGGGCTACGCTCAGCAGGACGCTCAGGAGTTCCTGTGTGAGCTGCTGGACAAAGTGCAGCACGAGCTGGAGAGCACAGGCCAACACACCACTAGCGCAGGAGTCCCGCAGATCCAGAAACGACTCATCAAACAGGTGCTCAGTGTGGTCAACACCATCTTCCATGGCCAGCTGCTTAGCCAGGTATGACACACACACACAGAACTGCTGTAACCTGTATTTAATTTTTGACTCACTCAGCAAATTCATCTGTTTTACTTACTGTACACATCCACTTAATCTCTTCTACCCACACTCTGTCTGCATTGATGATTCAGCAGCCATGATTCATCATCACTAATTCATATTTCAGATTTAATTGGCCATGTGTCAAATATTCATGAACGACTTAAAATGCTAAAGTGGAGGTTAAGCTTCCAGATGTGACATAAGTTTGACTTAATTTTAATAACTTTTGACTGATTTTGATTTCACATCACACTTAACTTGACGTCTCTTAGGACGTGGATGTTGTGGAGCGAGAGCTCTTAAACACTCACACAGAGGCGTGTGGCTTGTGAATCGAGGATCTGTTTAATGCACTTGGAGCAGTTGAGAAATGTATTATATTAGGATAAGCCCCTTGAGGTGTATCACCTCGTTTTCAAGGGGGTCCCAAACATATATTTACAAAGACACAGGTACAACACGGCAGTACAAAACCAAAACATAACACACTACAGACGAAACAAAACAAAACAAGGGACAACACAGAGAACAGATACAACAACAATTACAACTCTAGACTAGACACCTTAGAGGAGAGCGATTCAGATACATAGGGAGAAATAAATAAACAATGTTGATGCTACTGAAAACATACACAATCAGTTTGAAGATGAGAAAACAAAGCATGTTTAAATAAGTGGAAAGATGACAAGGAACAGAGATTTAAAGGTAACTTATTCCAGTCAGAAGGAGCACAAAACATAAAAGCTTTTTTACCAACTTCCTTTGAAACAAAAGGAACAGTTCTTTTATATCATCATCATCGTGTTGCTGCCCTGAACTGTGTGTTTGTTACGATTCAATCTTTCAAACTTCAACATGGATTGCTGCTCTGTAGAAACATGAAATTTAAAGAAAGTCATCCTGAGCTTTTTGAAGTTAAGAGTAAGGCTCTCAAGAAGATTAAATCTTCTTACTGGGGGGGTTGCAATTAAATTAACATTGATAATGAAGATCAACTATGGACGGTTTTTACTCCATGAATAGATCTTACAGCAGAAATAAATAAAGTAGTAAATAAGACTAGAGGCCTTTGTCTTTTCTATTTATTGACATTTTATAGGATAGGATAATACTTTATTGATCCCAGAGGGGAAATTCGGGCGTTGCATCAGCACAGACAAGCAGGTCAAAATACAAAATACACATTAAACAGAATAGATAAGATAAATAAAAATAGGGGGTATATACAAGTAAGTTTATGGACTACAAGAAAAATCACAAATAGAGCTTTGAGTAGTGGCTTTAAATCCAATTGCACCTTGAGTGGAAAGAAATCCCTGAAATCACAGCTAAAGAACATTTTACACTTTAACAAATCAAGTTATTCCCCCCCATTATGTACTGAGAACAATATCTTTTAGTATTTTAGGTGTAAGCATATTTTTTACTAGTGTTATTTTCTCTGTGATGATTCAGCTCCAGTGGAGGCTTTGTGTTTATTTCACAAGTAGAATTTTTCTTATTTAAAAAAATTATGTGTATCGTGTGCTTGTGTGACCTGATTTAAATCTTGCAGACGTATAAGTAGGGTGATATATATATATAAATGCATCTGTACCACCAATTTAAAGGTATATAACTCTAAGCTAAGCATCAGGTCAAGCAGCTGAAAGAGACACGGGGGGTGTGAGACAGATTAGAGGCTACTTGTAGAGGCTGAGCACACACTGAGACACCTGCTCTTTCTGAACAGAGAGGCCTGTGTGTCTGTGAAGGGGACTTCTAGCTTTTAACCAAAGCAGTGAATCAGATTGTATATGCACTCTGACAAAGGAAGTTATCATTATATGTAAACTGTGTCACATCAAGTTAGAAATTTATATGAAATTGAAGGAGATCTCTTGTAAGTATTTCCATGTTTGAAGTTTTGAGACATGAAACAGCACACATCATCATCATGGCCAGAACCGTTAAAAAGGGAAGTTGGACAGATTTTTAAATTCTATGTTTAGTGAACCACTTCCTCCGTTGCAGGTGACGTGTCTGGCCTGCGACCATCGCTCCAACACGGTGGAGCCGTTCTGGGATCTGTCTCTGGAGTTCCCGGAGCGCTATCACAGCAATAGCAGGGAGTCAGCCGCCCAGGCGTCGTGCCACCTGACTGAAATGCTCGCCAAGTTCACAGAGACTGAAGCGCTGGAGGGAAACATCTACGCCTGTGACCAGTGTAACTGTGAGTTCAGTGTCCACACACACACACACACACACACACACACACACACACACACACACACACACACACACACACACACACACACTTGTTAATTCAGAGACTTGACACCGAGGCTGTGGTAGGTCTCCCTTTCTTATTATTTCTCAAACATGCACGGGACCTTTTTCTTGGAGGGGGGAATTGATAAAGATCTTCTTGATAAAGTCGTTTTCTCAATATGTTTGATGTTTGAGTTCAAGTGTTTGTATTGATTTGTTAAGAGGTTTTTCTCAGCTGCATAGTTTTACAGTCGAAGGCAAAGATCAATAAGAACGCTGCAGGACAAACGGCACAACGTGGGGAGTGTGGTTTCTCAGAGGACTAAACACTTAGAGCAGATCAAATGTAATGATCTCAAGGTAAAAGTCTTATCTATCAAAGTCCCCTCTTTGTTATTTCTGGAGAGGAATTTAATTATTTATGAGTACAGACAGGAGAGATTAGAAAAGGAGGAGGAGAGAGGGATGATGTGCAACAAGTTAAATTTGGTCGTAGAGTTGGAACTCTGAAAGCTAGAAGAAGGAATTTCCAGCCATTTTAACATTTCATGCTGCTTTGAGACAAAATAAAAGGTTTTTCTAAATACAAAGAACACTGATGCCAACACTTAACTCCTCCCTCTTTTTGATCAGCACTGAGAATTGTACAAAACATGAAAGTAACTGCTTCTTGTTTTTTATCCAAAGGATAAACGTTACCAGCGGTAATTTATATCTTCTGTCAGTTACTGTGAGAAACTTGGTAAGAGGCTAAGACTAACGGGTTGCCTGATTTAAAAGGCTCTCTGCAAGATGTTACCTGTCTGAGCTGTCAGCGCTCAAAGATTGTTTACGAGGACAGAGCCTCCACTCCTAAATACATCTTAAAATGGAGTTTGTAGTTGTGTTTTCTGTAGTCCCGGTGTGAAACTGTTTCTCTGCAGCAGAGAGAAGACTCACTCATGATTCACCTTCTCCCAGTTAAACTTTACATTTTATTTATAATTTAGGCTTATAAACCAATGTATTAGACATTGGAACCGGGACCTTTAATTTTGGGACTTCAAATTAGAAAAGCTTCAGTGGTTATTTCTGGATTTCAGATTTAGATTTAATCAACACTTAGGGAACTAGAAGTTGAATAAAATTGATATCTTAAATTGTTTTTCTCTTTATTTATAGCTGCTCGAAGGCGGAGCTCCTCCAAACCAGTCATCCTGACCGAAGCACAAAAACAGCTGATGGTCCACAAACTGCCTCAGGTCCTGCGACTTCACCTCAAACGCTTCAGGTAGGAAAACTATCGCTGGAGCCAATTCTATTTAAGTTCATTCACCCTTGCGAGGCTATTTCAGCCCGGCAGCCTCGGATTAACAGAAAGAGAAGAAAAAGTAAGAGGTCATGTTTAAAGGACAGTGAATGCTGGATGAGAAAGTTGTGCCTTGTTTGTTTATGCTGAAACCAAAACATAAACGGCATGATTAATACTTGATGTGTTTGTTTTATTTGAGATATCTCTGCCTCTAAATCGACTCCCTTGCACTCCCTGCGAGCGACAGGAAGGCCAACAGCCGGGTTGCTCTTAAAATAAGTGCCAAGTGTTCAGTTCAGTCAACTGACAGATGGCATGTCATGAATGTTTCCAGTCGTAGAAATGCAGTCTAATGTTGTCAAATGATGCGATGCTGACTAGTATCTAACTTGCCGACTGGTTTTCCGTCTCCTCATTGGTCCCTCAGGTGGTCTGGGCGGAACCACCGGGAGAAGATCGGAGTCCACGTCAGCTTCGATCAGCTGCTCAACATGGAGCCGTACTGCTGCAGAGACCCCTCACCCAAAGTCCCGCCCACCTGCTCCAGTCCCGGCAGCTCCACGGGCTCACCGCGTCCCAAGCACTTCCTCTACGACCTCTCCGCTGTGGTGATGCATCATGGGAAGGGCTTCGGTTCTGGCCACTACACTTCCTACTGCTACAACACAGAAGGACGTGAGTAACGAAAGCTTTTACTCCTACTGATTTTATTGTTTTGGTTATCGTTAACAGCTGGCTGCGAGATAAATCCATAACCAATAGCTGCTTTGAAGCCGTCTCTGATGGTGTGTTCAAGGACATTCCTGCATCAAACACCTTTTTGTTTTTTGTAAATGCTGTTTTAGTCGACTTTCTCTGTTTGTTTTCATTCTGCTTTTTAAATTTTCGATTTGCGTGTCCTTTTTCCGCTGTCATGACGCTTTTGATGTCATGTGTGAAGCAAATTCACCTGACTTGACTTGACTTGACTTAGGAGCTTTAAGGCAGCTGACTCTGACACCAAAGTGGAACTGGTGCAATCTAATAGTCCAGGTCCATAAACAAAGGTGGACCTGACTATTCAAATTCTTGTGTGTTCCAGTATCAAATTGACTTCTAGAGCTGGATTTGCCCGATCATTAAGACTGATTTGTTTCTCATATGAACACTTTTTCTTTGTTTTCTCCTGCAGGCTTTTGGGTTCACTGTAATGACTCTAAACTGAATGTGTGTTCAGTAGACGAGGTATGCCGCGCTCAGGCCTACATCCTCTTCTACACGCAGCGAGTAACTCAGGACAAAGACCGGCCGCTATAGGACCACAATCCCCCTCTTCCTCCTCCTTCTCGAGACGATATCAGCACAGCCCCACCTATCGCTCTTTCTCTCCCCCCCTCCCTCCTTTCCTTTGGGCATTTTTATATCCGAGGAGGACGGGTGTGTGTTTTTTTTTTTTTTTTTTTAGTCTATTTTTCTAAATAAGGAAAACAAAAGAGAGGAAGGACTCCTTTTTAAAAACCTGGTTCTGCTTTGTGAACTTCTTGTATATGCTGTTTATATGTAGGTATTTTTTAAAAGATGGTGATGTTTGTTATTTGTGTACAGTTGTATTTTATATTAAAAAAAAAAGAGAGAGAGTATCAGCCAAGTGTCTCAGTAGCAGCCAACAGACTGTGACGACACGACTTTAAGTGTCCTCTTCAGGTCGTACAGGTGCATCCACGTCTGCCTACCTGCATACAGTGGATTGTTGATTGTAAATGCTGTTTGTTTGAATCAGTCACTTTAGATAGCTGTCATAGAACTGGATGTAGGGTGGTTAAATGTCATTCACTCACTAGTTTTGGCCTCCCTGTTTTCTACACAAGTCAACAGTTTCCTGTCAGAAATGCACTAACTCCTACATAATAGGTCGTCAGCGTAGCATTTTACTCAGTTTTGGTTCATATTTGTGTAACCAGGAGGGCATGAAATCTGTGTTCCCTCTGAAGGTCTCCTGTCAGGCAGACCTCAAGCCAAAGCCTCGGGGGGAAGAGTATGGAAAAACTTCTCAGCGTTTCTTAAACGGTTCAACGTTTGCTGGGTTTATATTTTCTTTCCTCTTCAACTCAGCGGGGAAAGTTTCCAATGGGATTTTTTATTTTATTTTAGCTAAATGCTGCCACCTCTCTGCACCAGAATGTAATTTTCTTCAGTGTGAACCATCCCAAACCGGACACATACTAGTGTACTAGAAAAAGTGCCCTTTTGTTGACAGAGAATATCTATTTTTATAGTCAATATTAATTCAGCGTAGTGGTATCTGCACAGCCGCAGTCCCACCCACACCAGCATTTAGATTATGAATGTATTTTTATACATACCTTCTCAGAGGCTGTAGAAAAAGAGGCCATTGACTGTTTTTCAAGGTTTTCTTCAACCCTGATTGTTTTAATCACCAGCAGATATGACAGATTTTTACTGTTCTCCCACCATTCAGTAGGTGTGTGTACATAATGTATTTACATCCTGTTCAGTACAATATCCAGTGTATACAGATTGTGATATTTATCTCCATACTGGAGAATTTGTAAAAAAGAAATTTTTATTTTCCGCCTCAACCATGATTCCTCCACAAGAGGTTAATTTAAAGCACACTTCATACTGTTTTTTTTTTCTCCATTTTGTGACACATTGTTGGCATTTTGGTAACTACTCCATGAATGTGTGTTTTTGTGTGTGTGTGTGTAAATTTATGAAAGTTATACTATGCAAATTGTTACCTCAATTGTTTTCTAGAGAAAATTACCTCAATAAACGAGAATATTTTTTCATTTTTCTATAAAAGATGCAAGTGTCTTGTCTTTTATAATCTCAATATGCAGATGAGACATTACACCGTTAATTATTGAGACACCAGAAGATGACACCCTCTAATGAGCAAAACCATTTTAATCTTTTTTTCTTACAAAAACACTTTCAGGGATTTTTCAAAATGAAGCTTTTTTTCCAATCAGGAACATACAGTGGCAGCAGCCCATTTCAAAGATATTTTACAAATATCACAGAAACGATGACTAGAGGGCCAAAGTGCAGCGTTCCCTCCTGTAACAGAAGCCAAACATACAGCTGCAGATGCACGGCGCCTGTATGTAGTCGGCTCGTATTCCAAGACATCCCAAAGCTTTAGATTTTTAGGAATCGTCCTTTGCAGAGATTTTTTTTGGCCATGCATCGGCATAACCACTTCTTCAACTCGTCAGTAGCAGTTGTGCTTAACTTAACTCGAGCACTAAAGCACTGGAGGCTCAGAGTGGAGCCATAGAAACTTTGAAAATTAAAGGAGGGGGGGGGTAATAAAGGGGTTTCCCACGCTCGCCACTGTATGAATACTGGGGGGTGCATTAGATTGAGCAGCAGCTTAATTAACTCTTTAACTGTCAGACAGTTAACTTGATGTTTTTGGAAAATGAGGTCCGCAGGATGTTGAAGGAAACTTTAATCTTTCCTCCCACAGAAAGAGGTCGAGGCTTTTTATTTTTTATTTTTTTTAAAGCTGTGGGTGATGACAGAAAACTCAAGAAAGCCAGTCCTTCTTCCGTGCAAGCTGAGAGTGGTGCATTGTGGGTAGAATACAGTAGCATTTGGCATCCCTCAAGAACTGCTCTCAGACAACGACATCCTGTTAAAGGAGCTTTTTTTTTTTTTTTTTTTTATTTCCGGCTGTTTCTCTGAAGAAGAAGGAGTTGCTAACAGGGTCTTGGAGGTGCTGTTTCGAGGTGAAGGGGGGGCGCTGTGGTGCTGTGGGGTTGTCAGTAGTCGTCTCCCCGGCTCACCACCTCCTTGCAGGTGGGCCTGAGCAGGATGGTGTGCTCGAACTGAGCCGTGTAGCAGCCCTTGGTGTCGCAGAGGGGCGGGTAGGGGTCCACGATGCCCAAGTCGCACAGGTTCTTCAGGGCCATCAGGTACTTGCTCTCGCCCAGGCGGTCCAGCCAGCGGCGGCAGAACGCCAACGTGCCGAAGTTCTCGTTGACGACGTTCAGGAGGTGTTTCGCTCTGGGAAGCCTGAAGGTCATGGAGGGACGTTTATAAGTATCCAGCAGCAGTCACAACAGACATAAAGTGCAGACATCATGAAAACAGAGAAAGTTCTTACCTGATGGGGACGTGGCCGACGTCAAAGTTCTTCATGTAGTGAGAGCACTCCATGTCGTCGTGCACCACACCTTTACCTGTGCTGCCGAATGTCTCGATGGCATAAACCTCTCCCTCCTTTCAGCAAAAAAATAAATAATCAGAGCGTGTTCATTATTTCAGACGGATCAGAAATGAGTCAGAATGATGTATGTAATGAACTCACCTCCATCCGCGTTGCTTCTCCTCCTTTAACGATGGGCACAGTCTTTCCTGCGTGTATTCTGTACTGACCGATTGAATGACCGTTCAGGTTTCGGATCGGCTTCACTGGAAGGCAAAAAAAAAAAAAAGTTTTAGAAACAAACAGATCATTTCTTTATAAGTATCGTTCATGTAGATAACACTGGTTAAAACATCCACATTTCATGACATTTTCAGGCTCTGCAGAGTCATAAATGTAACTTCAAATATAGTTTTTAACGATCTTACTCATTCCCAAAAAACATCCGAGACTCCCCCACACTCACCTCTTCATCACTGCCTACAACCACTAACTCCCCCCCCCCCCCACATTACTTCTTTGTTGTACTGTCCTCGTCGTTTTTTGTTTTGCTTTATTGTTTTTGTGAAAGCGTCTTTGAGTTCAGAAAAGCGCTTTATAAAACTAATGTATTATTATTATTATCATTACTACATTTAGATCAAGCTCTGAAAGCACAAAAGCTTAATCTGTTGTTTCAATGTCGTCATATGTTATAAACACACAAGTAAATATCAATAGAGTTCAACCTTGATATGTTTTGCCGTCAAGCTCGACCTCGTAGGACTCCATTACTTCTTGAATCGCTTCTCCGACATCACACAGACGCACATCGATGCCGGCGTTCTGCAACAAAAACAGGAAATCATCAGCTCCGGGGACCAATCAGAAAAAAAACTCTGGGATGTTTTGTGTGTGTGTTAGTCATACTTTGATTCCAGTATTGGTGGCGTCTCTCACAGCCTCCAGCAGCTTGTCGTACTTTGGATTAAATGTGACAGTGAAGGCACAGTCAATGATTCGCCCTGCAAACAGACAAGGAGCAGAAAACAACATTTTTTCAACATGTTTATTCGAGGTTTTGCTATTTTGTATTTTGATTTGCAGACATTCTGTAAAGCATTTTTTTTATATTTATGCGTGTTCAACATTTAGGTCACATTCAGTGCTTCCATGAGTAGTTAAGCTACAAAAATGTAGACTGAAATCAGAATAAGATAAAAAGCTTTTTGATGGGAAGTGAATCTAACATTTTTTGGAGGGTTGAATATTTGACTCTTAGCTCTTTGAAACACTCTCACAAGTGCAAGTTTTTCTTTTGTTGTGAGCTTTATTCTACTGTTTTTTTTCTTCTAAAGCTCTCTCTCTTCAAAAAGAGATTTTGATCTCAATGATTTTAACCCGTCTAAAGGGTTAAATAAAAAATACAGAGAATGTAGTCTACAGTTTGTAACAGCAGAAAACACCTTTAGTATAAACTAAATGTACTCATGTAAGGAGAACAGTTTGAAAATCTTCCTCAGTTTTTTTCATGTTTCTGTTTTTTATCCCCACACTGACATAAAAAGGAGAAACCATCCTACTTGATTTAACGTCTGCATTTCAGTTTCATTACAGTTAAAGAAAGCTGTAACTTTATTACAGACTCAAGCTGTTCCACGAGAGCAGAGTCTTTAAGAGCCTGACGATTGATTTCCATTTCCTCCTCTAATCACTGTAACCCACTCGCTCCTGAGAGTAAATCTCCTTTGCGGCCGCTTCTCCATCGACCCCATTATGTGTGCAGAGCTCGCCCTGAATGCATCATTACAGATCAGCACAAATCAAATCGCTGAAGCAGCAGGAAGTGCCCGACGTACCGTTGATGTGCGTGCCGAAGTCGATCTTGCAGACGTCGTCGTACTGCAGGACGGTGGTGTCTCCGGCGTTGGGAGTGTAGTGGGCAGCGCAGTGGTTGAGGGAGCAGCCGGTGGGGAAGGCCAGGCCGGCGTCCAGCTTGTTCTCCTTGATCAGCTTACGAGAGCAGTCCTCCAACCGCTCGCTGTGGAGGCGGGACAAGAGAGCAACAAAATGAGAAGTCGAAAGAAGAAATGTAAAAAATGTAAAAGAGGAAATCTGATTATTATTTTTTCATACTTTAATGTGAATCATTCTCTGAGTTGTGAGACTATGGTTTACACATTTGAAGGACTTTTAAAAGTGAGTAATTCTGCCGGGGAGTCAGCCCCCGTTTTTAAGATTTTATTTGCTGACACTAGATTATTGTTTTTTTTTTACAGCTCTGATGGACGACTGTTTTTGATGAGTCAGCAAATCTATCCTCCTCTCAACAATCTATACAACTCACTTCATGTTGTAACTGCAACCTCAAACCGTTCCTATCAAGTGAAAAATGTGACCGATGAAGTGGACGATAGAGGAAGCCCTCACCAGATTTCAATCATGGTCATGCCGGGTTTCATGAAGCCGCGGACGTGCTGGCGGACTTGTCTGTGGGCCTCGGCTGCCTGTCTGAAGTCGCTCCACACCTCCTCGTTGGCTTTATCCATCACCCGCCTCTCCTCGATTGTCGTACGCCACACTGCGCTGCGGCTGGAGGCGGAACACAACAACAACAACAACAACACAGAGTTCATTTCCTGGACGTTAAGGTCGGAATTCAGAAAGTAACATAATACTGATTTCATTTCATATTTGATTTATTTGCTCGTTTCAACACAGCAAGAACTCTTTTCTTCTGTTACTGAAACACTGTTCACGAGCAGATAGTGAGCATGTTAGAACTGCAGGAAGGACCTGGTTTTACGACATAACGACACACAGTCCTGACTAATCCACGGGCCTCAATCAGCTGTTCAGGGTCAATGACTTCACCACCAACCTCAATATAAAAACTCTGACCATCTGCGAGTAACATTTCTTCAAACTGAAAGAAAGTTGTTCCTTCAATGTTTCTAAAAAAAGAGTTTTAACGCTCAAAAAAACACTGAACTGGTTAAATTTATAACACTTAAATTTCAAATTACAAGAAATGATTGTGGGCAAGACACTTTCAACTGAGAGACTTTAAATACAATTTATAGAAGACATTATCTGCCTGAGTAGTGAGAGGTTATGTGATGCTTAAGAGGAAGACAATAAAAGAAAAAAACACATCAAGAACGGTGTGCAAAAACTTGAAAAGCTACAAAACAAAAAGGTAAACAATAAAGCAAATTCCAAATAACACAAAGTCTTCGTTCTCAAGAGTCAAGAGCATCAACAGAAGAACGGGAATTAAGAATAATCTCGGAAATTAAGCAAAATATAAACAGGTTTAGATGTGTGTGTGTGTGTGTGTGTAACTCCTCTTACCCGTCCTGTACGGTGGGGTATTCACACTCTTGTCCGATGGGGAACACTCCACTTGGGTATAACTCACAGATGGGAACAGACGGGGGATCGGTTTGAGATTTGGCTGAAAGAAAAGAAAAAAACTCAATCAGAGCGACTAACAGATGTCGTACAGCGGAGGGCTGAATCAGGACAACAGAGGCGACACAGCCAACCTTCAGCTCAGGACAGACGCTGCTTTGTACGACTGTGAGATTCTAAAACACTTAAAACAGCACTGCAGCACGATACAAAGCTTTACTCTGAAATGTGCACAACTTACGTCCTTTCTTCTTCTTTTTCTTCTTCTTCTTCTTCCCTGCAGAGTTCTCTCCATCGTCTCCGTCTGTGCGGGGTAAAAGAAAATGTGATCACACAAGCTACATGTGACGTTAACATGTCGACACTTCCAAGCACAAACAATGACGACGCGTGTTGTGATCTCCATCACCTTCCTCTCCATCCTCCTCTTTCTCTTTCTCTTCTATCGCCTGTTTCTCCAGCTGTTTGGCCACTTCGGTCACTCCGTCAGCCTCCGCCTCAGCGCCTGCAAGCAAACGGAAAAAAGATCGTCAAAAACACACAGAACAATAAATAACCAAAACTGGCAACCGGCAGTCGAGTTCTGCTGAGTCAGCACACGCAGCAGAATGCAGAGGGGGGGGGATGTAGGAAGAGTGACAAAGTTTCATCTTATTTTGGGCAGCATCCTTTTAAAATCAAGGCATAAAGACGGATCCTCCTGACTGCATGTGAGCAACTCAATATGACTCATTAACAGATCAAGCACAGGTGGTAGTTTATTTATAATGTGATCACTTTGAAAGGTTTGAGTATTTGTGATAAATCCAGGGTAAATTAAGGTGTCCTAATTTTCTACGGGCACATAAACATCCATCTACAGCACTTTTCCTGCCTTGATATTCAGAAATATTAACGTTTCAAAACATGTCTCCACACTGTTTGAACTTTAATTGACTTAATTGAGATGAAAGAGTTAATGTTGTGATTTAATTACAGAGAAATCATCTTTTTTTTTTTCCTTGCATAATAACTCCACTAGAGGAGGAATTACGAAACAGAAATAAACTTGGCTGAGGGTCAACACAGTGAGCAATCACAACAGTTCCTACAGAGGAGCAGTCAGCTCACCGCGTTGTTGTGTTTTGATTTAATTAAACATTAAATTATAGATCAGTCAGCTGTGGTTGATGACACTGCTCCCAAACGTGGATCCGAGTAAAGCCCGGCGTGTTTCATAAGGCCTGACAGCTTCACCGTCCAAACCGCTCATAACCCGCATGGCTAATGAGGATCAGCGTCAAGTCAGCCGCATTTACAGCGCCATACTTCCGGTTCGACTTTCAAAATAAAATGTCACAGTTCGATTTACTTTCTTGTAGATGAAGTAAAATACTTAACACATCAGCCATTCTTTTAATAACGTGTAATTGGTTGATTTCTGATTAAAAAATACATAATTTAAAATTTAAAAACCGTCCCCACAAGTAAATCTCGTACACCTGCTTTTTTGATGGAAACCGGAAACTCAGTGTTCGCGATGGTTAAAAGTCGCAAGCTTGACGCATCTCCAATAAGTAACATTAGCTCTGCTAGCCTGGAAGCTACAAACTAGTCCCGGTCAGCCTCACCTGCCGCTGCGGACTTGTTCTTCTTCTTCTTTTTCTTCTTCTTTTTCGCTGTCTCCGTCTCCACGGGGTCTGCCTCTTCTCTGTCCTCCGCCTCCCCGTTCAGCTCCCGGTCCGGGACTGGTATCTGGTCCGCAACCTGCTCAGCAACCACGTCCGCCATGATCGCAGGCGCTGCTGGAAAAGGAAGCGCGATGGACTGTGGGAGTGCTGTGTGTGGTGCTGCGTTCAGGGACACTCAGTCCTTAAAGAACCCTCATCGACAATACTCTTTAATTTCCCCCTTTTTTCTATTAAATAAATTAAATAAATAAGGTATGTTATACTATACTTTACAACTCTATACTTATAGTTTATTTAGGACACAGAGGTCCACATCATCATAAAAAATAAATATACAAGACATCAACAAAGGGATAAAATCACTGCAGTTCACAATTGTTCAGTAATAAAAATACTCATAATTTGAGAATTATTCTAAATGCATCATTATAAGCAGGTTATGATGTAAGTGTAATCTTCTTGTCATTTTGTACTTTTTGTCTTTTGTTTTTTTCATAAAGTTAAATAAGCAATTTATGAAAATACCAGTGTACTACTAGTTTACTTTTTATTTAAATTTTCTTTTATTTACCATTTTATCTGGAATTTATTACTGTACATATTAGTTATATTATTTTACCTTATTTTATTTTATCTTATTTTGGTTGTATTGCACCGTGGGACGGAGACAAACGCAGTTTCGATTCCACTGTATGTCTGGCATATTTTGAAATTGACAATAAAGTTGACTTTGACTAGTTTCATATTTATGGTCGAAGAGCGGAAGTTAATTAAATCAGAAGATTTAGTTTCAGTTAGTGTATCCTTCACCATTCTGTTCTTATGCATGAAGAATGTAGCTCTGTAGCTCTGTATTTTATTTTATCTAAAAAATATATATCAATGAGAGGGAAAGTTATATTTAACAATTATGTTCAATTAAAAAAATCCTGTAAAACAATTTGCAGCAACCATAACTTCACTTTTCAACACGCGTTCTGAAAAATCGGGAGATTAGCAGGGGCACGTGAAGGCAGCACGGAGTAAAACATGCCGAATCAGCTGAAGGGGATCTAAAGCCTTGTGAGGAGAAATAACCTGTAGAGAGGTTTAAGTAACCAATTAGAAATGCACTCATCAAGACATATATAGGGCATCCTTTTACATTCCTATTTTATAACATCCTTGAAATAGGAATGGAAAAGATCTGTGAAAGATTGACTTGGGTAAATGAAAATAAACAGATTAAGTTGAAGCAGTTTCTGAAGATTAAGCACTCAGTTTGAAAACATAACAAAATCATAAATATTATTTTGAAATATAGATATATATTAAGTTATACAAACATTCTAGTAGTTTATGTTTGAGGTCAAAATCCTGCTGAATGGCAATTATTGAATTGACCACTAGGTGGCAGATAAATTACAGACAACGTCCTAATAAAACAATTACCTGATTAAAGCCAATTGGTGCTTTATATTTACAATGGATGCCACGTGATGCCTCAGTTTGGGTGATGGAGAGTCAAACTGGATTTATGTGATGCCAAACTGAAATATCAAAAAGCTAGAGTTACTGAATTATTGTTTCCTGTCTTTAAAGTATTAAATCCAGAGACAGGGCACTTCTATGTTTAATCTTTAGTCCTTGTGTTTAATGCTCTAAAGGCAGGAATGGCTTTAAAAGGGAGCACCAGCTGTTGTGGGTGAGACTAATGCAAAAATCCTAGAAAACATATCAAGTGACTCACCAAACCTGTTTGTAACCCCCAACACCGTGAGAGCGTCTGAAACGAGAGCGTCTGAAACATGAGCGCCAGAAAAGACTTGAGGATACAACCAACACTTCCAGAATGGTATTTTATTTAACATTTGGAAAATGCAGGGGGGGGGGGCTCATCCCAGAGAGAGGGTGCAGGAGGGATCAGGACAAGGCAGACATGGTGACAAGAGCGACTGGGAAGGTGTTGGACGGGTTGGGGGGGGGGGACATACATCAGGGCTCCTACGTCAACTTCATATGAAACAGGGTTTTAGATTGCCCTCACATGAGAAAATCTTCTTTTTTTTTTACATCTAAACCCGTACAAGTATTTGATTTTTTTAACCTCAACAGCAGCACAGTTCAGTGAATTCATGCCACACGATCCATTTAATTTAAGTGTTGAGTCATTAGCAAGTCTTCCTTATCTGTATCCCTCTAATCACAGACTCTTAAAACAAACAACATTGTTTCAGTTTTGATACAGTATTGTTGTATTCCAAATATTATGATGAATGAATGTTCACCTGTATGTCTGCGTGACCCCCGCTGTGTTCAGTCAGACAGCAGAGAGATGGATTGGACAAAAATAAAGCGCTCATAGTAAAAATAGAATCTCACTTCCTCCTCCTCTTGTTTATGTTTCTGTCGGTCTGTAAGGATTACCATCAGCTGAGGACGTCCTTCTACTTGGGATGTGTTCAGACAGAATGAACGGCAAATTCTTCACTGGCTTTTCCAAAAATGTTCAATAACTGCAGCTACAGCATTGGAATGAAACAATCCTTTATCCAATCAGTGCATCTATGTACAATTTAAGCAAGCTCACTCCTCACAAATCATCATTTTTGGTTTTTAGTTGTGTTTACCAACGCACTTAAATGAGCTTTTCTATATAGGGAGCATTCCAACAATTCTGCAAATCATTCAAACACAGGACATTAAATCACCGACCCTTTGGATAATCGATGTGAGGAACATTCACTGTGTTGATTTTGGCGCCTCCCTGTGGACAAACTGCTCATCTTGTCCTGTTTAAAAAAAAAAACTCTTTCTGCTTATTTCTACAGCCAAAAATAAGAGTAAATCTCTATTGATGAAAATGTAATCTTGTGTGAATCTTTCTTTACATTTTTCAGGAGTGCTTGAAAATAGCAGTAAAGAGATTATCAAGGTCTTAGATGGCGAGCTAGCTCATTTTAGTTGAGCTCAAAACTCAGCAGAAAGTGCTCTCCCTTCACTTCTGACCTCTGCAAGTTTCATTCAGGGAGAGTTTGAAGACAGCTAATTCAATCTCATTGAGTGTATTTCTTTTCTGTCTGAACACATCTTTGTAAAATCCCTCTAAAAATTTCATTTCTCCAGCCTAAACCAGAACAAAGTCTTCCTGACAGAGACGAATGTTGGAGTGTTTTGATCACAGTGATTTATGAGAAAACTGCACTGACGACCACGTCCTCCCTATTTTCCTATGAATCCCACTAAATAACCACTTTGTTGTTTTTTTGTTGTTGTCTTACAATCTTTGTTTCCACACCTGTCAAACAACTGTGAACGATAAATACTATGTGGATGTCAACCGAGTACACTGCAGACATTCTGGATCTTCTGACCTCAACACTGTAAAGGTCAGATGTTGGTTTAGTGGTTCTGGTACCTGAGTTTGAACAGCAAGAGAGCGGTAAGAATGTCGGGTGATGAACAGTAACGTGGACGGACGGACGGACGGACGGACGGATGGATGGGTGACGGAGGTTTTGTGTAAATCTGAGAAACATTTAAGATGTAACACGAGACCCAATCGATTAAGACACCCAGACGATCAGACATAAATGCAGTCCCTTCTCAGCGTGAGGTTTCATTTCAGTTTTTCTCAGGGGTTTGTCTGTCCCCCTCCCCCTCCTCCTCTTCATCTCCAAACGTTTGCTCCTCCATCCCGATGAGCGAGTGCGAGCGCGCCGCCACCTGAGCCGCGATGGCCGAACTGAAGCTGATAGCCGCCGAGCCGTGGATCTCCGTCAGTCTGTCCAGCACAGAGACAGCAGGGACTTTAGGCGTCAGGAAGCAGTCCAAACCGTTCTGCCCCTCCCCCCCCTCCTCCATGACGCCGTCGTACTGATGCAGCTCCGACGCTCCTCCCCCTCCCCGCAAACAGACCGATGCTCCTCCCAGCTCCGCTTCCTTCGCCTCGGAGCCGCAGCTGAACTCAGTCAGCGGCTCTGACGCGGGGTCGGGCCTCACCCTGCCGTCCTTTCCTTCCTCTTCCTCTTCCTCTTCCTCCCCTTCGCTTCCTGCGGCGCGCTCTGAAAGGTGGTTTCCTTCATCGTCGCAACTTTCTGCAGATCCCAGAGAAGTGACGGCGTCTGACGGGTTGGTGGCGGGATCTGAAGCCTCACAACGAGCTGAAGGAGTCACAGCAGCTGAAAGAAAAAAGGAAGAAACAGGACACCTCTCACTTTCCTCTAATGTATTTGAATAATGACTGAAAAAGAAGCAGTTCCCCCCAGTTCTCAAGGGGAGCTGTGAAAAACAGATTCCTGTCATTTAAACCACTCAGAAGTGTTGCAGAGATTCAACTTCCCCCTTTGGTTTTTATTCCATCTTTGTTTCAGTAAGCTTGCTTAGATGTTGAATGTGTTGAAGACAAAGACTGAAGTGTGTCTTTGTGTTTTTATATTTCGACGACACTTCAAAGAGTTAAAAACAGCCTCATTCTAAAAAAAGTGTCGACTCTACAAGCACGGTCGTCACGTTTGTCCGATGAGATGGTGTGACTTGCAGACCTTGGTCGTTGAAGAGCAGCTGCTTCCTCTTCATCCTCTCCCCCTCTGACGCGCGGAAGCCCAGCACCGCTTTCAGCTCCGACAGGACGCGGCGGGACTCCTCCCTCTCTCGCCGCTGACGCTCCCGTTCCTCCGGTGACAGCATGTCCGACCAGGAATCTCTACCTTCTCCGTCAGAGTCGGAGTCGGACACGTAGGCCTCCCACTCCTGGTTCAGATGGAACAGCGAGGGGAAGCGAATTAGGCGGACACAAATGTAATTGAAACATGTCAGGCAGTATTAGTGAATAGAGGGAAATGATTCAAGACATCAGGTTCAAGCTGAATAATTTCATCCTACCAGCTCTTCTGGCACAGGATCCTGGTCCAGGATTAACGGGTAAGAAGGAGGAGGAGCGGGAATTTCCGGTAAAGGAAGACCACACTGCTCCAGAGCCTCAGCATTACCTGCAGAGATCAAGTGAACTGATGTTACTGAAACAACCAAAACAAATCAGACCTCAACAGCTACTGAAGGTCTGAATGGTCCGTTTCTTGTCCCGTATTGTGAAGCAGCTACTTCTTCCATGACCGGCTAACAGTCTTGAGTCATTGTAAGAAAAGGAGGAAGTCTGAGTTAAAAATAGGTCCTGTGTTAAAAGTGGAAAGCTTCATAATAGAGAGAGGTGTCACTGCTCTGTCTTGAGTGAATATTTTATGGCATACTTAGAAATGCAGGACGTGTGACGTGAAAGCTCTGACCTAAAACCTGGAGTGCTGTAGGAAGCTTAACTTACTTAGCCTGCATGAAAACCTATGAGAAGTCTGACTCTGAAGGAGAGGAACTTCCCATAGGTTGTGACCTGTTACAAGTTCAGACCAAACTGCAAATCTAAGGATTTAAAGGAATAGTTCAACATTTTAGTTTAGGGCTTACAAAAGTAGATTGATATTCTGTATATATGAAACAATAGATAGCTCTGTTAGTGTTTAATAAAGCTTACCTGGACAGGCGTTGGCTCGCCTCAGCATGCGCTCCACCTGGCAGATGGTGTCCTCCCAGCAGCCGGTGCTGGCCTGCATGTGAGGCTGCAGCTGGTGCAGCCGGTCGCTGAGGTCCTGGTAACCATCAAACGACAACTCTGTCGGCTCTTTGGACACCATGAGTTTCTCCAGGTCGTCCTCCAGGATGATCATCCTGAACACGATCAGAAACAAAAGGAGAGTTGACAATACAAACTGTTATTTCTCTTCTGCGTGGTGACATGACCCGTTTCCAACACTGCTCATTAAATTCTCATCTCATTTTATTGGGAAGTGTCGATTGACGGCGGTCAGGTTTATGTTTGTGTGTTAGTGTGCGTCTCACTCGCTGAGCATGGCCTTGAGGTGAAGCTGCAGGCTTCGGATGGAGGTGTGCAGGGTGTTGAGCTCTCGGCATTTCTCCCTCGCTCTGCCCGTCCTGTCCGAGCCCGTCGTCCTCGGCTGCGTCTCGAAGTGTCGATGGAAGTCGTAGCTGCGCTGCACCTCGCAGAGGCAGGTGGCCAGGGCGTGGTGGAGGGGCTCGGTCACCGCGGCGACGGACCGATGGAGTGGGGGAGGGCAAGGGGGAGGAGGAGACGACGGTGGGAGGGAAGTGTCTCCTTTGGAACCGCCTTCTTCTAAATCCTCTATTCTTTGGGGCGAGAGGAGTAGAGCCAGTCTACGGAAACACTCAGAGCTCTGTCCCACCCACAGCTGAAACAGCATCTGCAGGGGGAGAGAAAAAAACAACACTTACTGAACAACGTTTATGTATCTGACACAAGCGTTTCTTCATAAAACCATCTTTTTAGCTACTTCACAGTTGGATATGTAACAATCTTTGCAAGCTTAAGAGCTGGCACATGGAACTCAGAGAAGTGGATTTAGTGTTTTGCAATGCAGCACGTTTGATGTTGAGAGTTACATGGGAAGATCACACAGTGTAAGTCTGTACGTTTAGTACAAGACCGCCCAAAGTGGCCTGCATGCTTAGCTTAGTCCAGAGGTTAAAAAACGTGTCTGCTGTTTCTTTTACTTGTACAAAAACTGAGGCATAAAAACAGTTTGTCGTCGTAACATGGGGAGTTTTTGGCTGTAATATGTTTCTGCTCAACACAGTATCTTCCAAAAGTTTCTGCAGGTTGCTCTGCAAAACTTAACTGACAACAAGTCTTGACTGATCCTTTAAGTGATAGCATCTTTATTGGTTGAAGCGGTGCTGATAAGATAATATTTTGGTTCCAGCTGAGTATTTATTGTTCAGAGAGAAAGGGCTTTCAATCCTCTCATTTGTACTCCATAAACTTACCAAATATATGAATAAAGGAAGCTGATTTTGGTACATAAGTACATACTGACCGTAAACAAGGTTGTAAATCTTATTTGCTAATTGTTACCTTCTTATTATCCTTCTTTATTGGGCTCTGACCAGCTACCATCAGCTCCTTGTCTTCTCTCAGCTCTTACCTTTAGGGCAGGAAGACTGTAGTCATCGGTCAGCTCCTGAGCCTGCTCGTCTCCGAGGTGTTCGATGCCCAGGCCGAGCCCGAGCTCCTTCAGCGGCACCGCAGAAACATAGTTTGTCACATTATCGATCTCAGAGTTCAGAGGGAACGTTGGGAGGGGTTAAGGACACATCGAATCTGCAACTATAGTTGTCTTATGAATATTACCATCAATTAATCTAAATGGATTCAACTGCAACGGTAAGAACCAACATTTGACTCTTGCCTAGTAACAGCTGTTTAACTCAAACAATAATGACTCTTTCCCCCGACACTCTAAAGATATGAACACACATATTCTGTCTAAGTGCTGGATCATCTTCCACTGTGTCTCTCCAGGTAAAGGATATGCCTTCAGCATGTGACAGGTTGCTCTGCGTGAGGCTCTGAAGGCCGATCGGAGCGCCCGGTACAGCGTTTTCCTCAGTCCAATCAGCTGCTGGCCCCGTGGCATCCCCCCCGGCCCCGCCCTGCTAAAGGAGCCGGCCGCACTCACCCTGTCGAGCAAACTTGACAAGTGAAATGTGATACAACTGTGGAGAGGTCCCGAAGAGGCAGGGGGGTACATACAACACTGAACACAACATCACTAAAGGTCGACAAAACCGACAAACTGGGACGTGAACACTACACAGGTGTGAAACAATACAAGACATGCTACTGAAGGAACAGCTTGACACTTTGATAAATGTGCTTATTGACTTGTTTAGAGAGAGCTGTATGACGAGATTGATACCGTTCACATGTTTGTGCATTAGATAGGAAGCTACAGCTGCTGCTGCTGGTTAGCCTATATTAGCACAAAGACTGGAATCAGTGGGAAACAGCTAGCCTAGCTCTTAAATCAAGGTGCACTAAAGTACGACAATGAACACGTTATATCAGGGTTTTTTTCATGTGTACATAAAAGAAGTAATAAATAAGCTTTACCTCTCTGAACTCCTGCACATCAACACACCTACCCACACTCTCAGGTCTTCTTCCATTCAACTCACTGCACCAACCGCCCACCTGTCCACCATGGGGTCCAGGACCTCCAGCCGCTCTGCCCCCCCCCACCTCTGGAACTCCCTCCCACCACAAATCCATAATATCGACTCTCTCTCCATTTTCAAATCTCATGTCAAAACACATCTTTTTAAACTGGATTATTCAGTCTGATCATTCTCCACCCGCTCTCATAACTGTGTCTGTGTTTTTTAATGTTCATTTTATTGTTGTGTTGTTACTTTGTTGTTTTTTATCTCTGCTCTGTAAGGTGACCTTGAGAGTTTTGAAAGGCGCCTTTAAAGAAAATGTATTATTATTATTATTATTATTATTATTATCATCAAGTATTGTTTTTGGTAATTCCTGGCATCCAGGCTAGCTGTTTCCAGTTTTTTATGCTAAGCTAGGCTCATTTGCTGCTGGCTTTGGCATTACAGACATTAAGAGTGGTATCAATATTTTCGTCTGTCTCTAAGAAAAAGAGGCAATATAAAAAAATGTGAAACTTTTCCTGCTTGTGATTGAAGTCTAATGCTAGATAATCAGTGTTTTCTCTGGACAAAGCTAAAGCTACAAACAGACAAGACAAACTAAAAGAAGTGATAACATAAACTACTCACATAACCTGAGAAGCTAAGTTAACTAGCGCTGTCAACAAAGGAGTGAATGAACTCAGCAGGCTTGAACAATGCAGTGACACACAGAGACATGACAGGAAAATGCACATTCGCTTCATATGATTGGTTGACGTTGTATGCAGGCGGACATAAAAACGAGCATACTTACAGGGTGAACCCTCTGGAGATGACCTCCGTTTCCTGCACCAGGCGCAGGGCTTTGCGAGACAGTCCCGTCAGAGTCTTGCTGTTATGGACCAGGAGCTGGAGCTGCGTGACCCGCGCGTGGACGGCTCTCTGCATGCGGGCCCGTCTCCACAGCGTGACACCCCGCAGCCCCGCCCAGCCCAGCAGCACCAGGCTCCACGGAGCGGCTGCCAGCGACCACAGGCCCTCGGAAACGGAGCAGAGACCGAGAAGGACTGCAGCCAGGCCGACCAAACCAGCCATGTCCCTGTGGGAGGAGAAGAGGAGGGAATTTAGACGAGTGCGACCTTATACAGTACATTTTGTCTTAACAACGTTACTATGAATGTGTAAAAACTGGGAACATGTGAATGTTTAAAGGCCTTGAGAGAAACTGCATTTGATCTTTTAACAGGAAAATATGAAGAAAAGGCGCTACTCTTATTGGTAGCTTATAATAATAATAACCAAATTTGCTAATTTTGTATCCATAAGGAGATGTTTTTGTGACTTTAACCCTTAAAAGCCTCATCAACATAGCTATTCATCTTCTCCCTCATGCTTTTCTCTGGAATTCCAGATAGAACAGAACATTTTGATTCTACCGAGAGCTTAGTAAGTATTTTTTTTATCTGGTTAAGGTCAACATATTCCTTCCAAATAAAAGAAAGAAGAGATAATTAAGTTTACATGTTTACTTTTGCCAGAAAAGGTCACGAGGCCAATCTATTATTTTGATCCATGCTTTCAGTCTGTTATGTTTTTTTTATTGGAATGTATTACATTCTCTGGTGAGCCAACCCATCTCATATCTGTGTTGTGTTTCCTGCCAAACAATATACCATAGTGACGGCTTGGCTATGAGGCTCGGTCTGGGCAGGGCGTTCGCTCGGCCGGACGAGGCGGAGGGGGGCGTCCCGAGGGTGAGCAGACCCGGGTCCAACAGCTCGATCAGCTCCACATCCTCCTGCAGCAGCACGTCCTGGTCCAGAATGCACCTCACCGAGTACTGGCCGAACACGCCGTCCTATGAGAAAAAGGAGAAACACATTTAAAGAAGTGCTTCAAAAAGGTGCTTCAGCATTTCCGTTCTGTTTCTTGTTGGACCTACCAGCTGCTGCCCCAGCTTATTAGATGCAGCCGCCTGGTGAAATGGACTCCATCTCCACAGGGCTTCAGCCACTCTCCACCAGCGTCCGCCCTGCCAATCACACACAGAGGAAAGGTTGAAATCGAATTAAATCAATACTGTCACGATTCAAGTTTTATTACAGAGCTTTTAAAAGTGAAATGTTTTTGTAATAATTCACCTGCAAGTGTTTCAGTCACTTTTTAGTGCTTGTCCTCCCTTGGCTGTAGATCAGCTCAATAAAAACACCATGCACTAACAAACAACCACACTCACTGTACAAAGGAGTCTCCCAGGAGACAGACTCTTTTGGGGGAACAACAATAAGAGCAATGTGTTTTCTTAGAAACACTCCTGTGGCGCTCTGAGTTGCACAAAAACCACATTTGTCGAGTTCCACTTTTTGGTATTTTAAATGTTTACATTTTACAGCAACAATAAAACTTTTAAAAATACATGTTTCAAGAACGCAGAGGAAGGACTCTTTTAGATCCAGAAAAGGATACACGCTTGCTCATCCCTTTATGGAAACACAACACAGGAACACACACACACACACTTTTGTTTTGTTTTTTTATGTCCCAGCATTCACAGGGCTGTTGACTCCTCTCTGTAAACAGGCGCAGACATCCAAACACAACCCGAGCGACGTGGTGCCTCAAATTTTAAAGTGCGTTGACATTTGATGCAAAAACAACCTAAAACTTTTCCGCAATGCTGCAAGTTTTTTTTCCCCCTGCAAGAGCCTTAAAAACAAAATACCAAACTGGTATTGCCCAATCATAAATAGGATCTACGACGCGCTAATGAGCTTAGAGCGTTTTTCGGCGTCTGTGAAATGCTTTGTATAAAAACAAGCCTCATGTTGAAAGACATTTGTATGAGGATGTTTTACTAATGTCACACACATCAACCCCCTTTTTTTAAGTTAAAAATGTAATCATAATAACATCCTGTGAAGTGTGTGTGTTCTCCAGTTTGCAGCAGACACACACAGTGATGACCCTTCTCTCAGGGGAGGAGGGGGGGCACAAGTGTTATTAGTCTAAAGGCCGCAGTAGTATTGATTACTGGTTGGAGGCTAAGCTTCAGGACCGCCCCGACACAACTGAGCCACAACTCTGTGCCGTCCTCTCTGTAGTGTCAAAACAAGCTACTCCCAGCCGATGCTCCAACATAGATGATGTATTCATGTAAATGAACTCCCATAATGTCTCAGCACTCTCTCTACTGTATTACATCTCGACTGGCACACAGTCAGTTCTTTACTCATCAGTATTCTCCTGCTGTATCACAGGGATCACTGCAGCTTCCACATCCACTATGTTAGAGAACAGACACACTCAGCATAGACCGATGGATATGTTAGTGTTGTTAAAAAAAAAAGAGAGAAAAAGAAATGACCCAATATTTGGTGCCTCTAATTGTATTTTTTTTTTTGCCTTGGTATCAATATCATCTGTTATTTACAAGAATTGTATCCAAGTTTAAAGGTCACTTATTATGCAAAATACACTTCACCATGTGTCTCTAGTCTAGTCCACTTTCTGGAGTGAGAAAGCCAAGCCACCCAAGCTCTTCCAGAGAGGGGGCGTGGTCAGACACAGCTCATTTACATATTTAAAGGTACAGACACAGAAACAGCCTGTTCTGAGCAGGGCTGAAATAGAGGGGTTTATAGGCATGATCAAATTCAGGATCAGAGTGGATTTAGAACAAGAAACTTCACAGACAGCTTCTGGGGAGCTCTGAGACTTATTTGAACTGGTTGAAAAGGAGCACTGTATGTGACCTTTAAAAATTTGGTATCGTGACAACCCTATGATTTCGTGTCACCAGCAAGACAAAACCAAACAAAATCTGGATGTACAGTATAATCATGGCTTGATATTTACTTTCAGCAAACAGAGGTATGTTTGTCTATCAGTGATGTCATGTTCCAAAGTCCAATACAAATATGTTGGCGTCATTCCTCTACATTTCAGTATTCATTTAGTGTAGAGAAATCAACCTTAAGCGTAATTTAACTCCCACCTGGGACAATGAAAGGAGCTGTACTAGTGGTGGTCATATAGAGGTACTGGTAGAGGGAGAGAGAGTTTTATTCACTCATTGTTCTCAGTAGCGTTTGTGAAAACCAGTCTGAGGACTTTCCCCAGGAGCCTTTGTTGTGTTCCTTCTTTCATTGAATCTGGGCTAACCCTGCTTCTTTATGTTAGTTAAACATCACCAGCTTCAACATACAAATTACTTCACATGCTTTCATAAGTATCAGGGTATCAGGTCACGCATACTGCACTGCTCTGACAGGACAATGCGTCTGTTTATTCATTAGAAGAACTCTGTTCACTGTCTACGTGAACACGGTGTTTGGCCTCGGCTCCGACTTTATCAGAGCTCCAGGAAACCAGTCACCGAGGGACGAGCCAAAAGCTTTCCTGTCTCATCCCCAATCCTTAACTCCTTACAAAAACAGCGTACAGAGAGGAAGCGTGACACGGACGGAAAGTTCTTGAACCAAGCAAACACAACAATGTTTCCTGTCCTGAGAGGAGGGGGGGGGAAACGGGGTCATGTGATCCAGAGCATCCCGGGACACATTAAAAGTCTGTATGGAATCACAGGCCGACTCAAAACTAAATTCATTACAATTTGATGAATGAAGAAGCATTCAGAGATCACAGAGTTGTTTTGATTGCATAGCTGGGGTTGCACACAGATCAAAAAAAAAAAAAAACAAGATTTACAAATGACATCAATATGAGACAGATTGTAAGAGGATGCTCACAGGAGGCAGGAATCACGTCAGAGTGTGGTGGCAGTAATCATATTTGTGCTATCTCCGGCAAGATCAGAACAACAGCAGGAGCGAGATGCACATCAGCGAGAGGTTTTCTTTGTAAAAATAAAATAAAACAGGCAGCTGCTGTTTGTTACTGCCGAGTGAAGAACATGCAATTTCAAAAGTACAAAATACCTCCATGTGTTTGTAGAGAGCCCTTCTTGCCATCTTGTCTGATTGAAGCAAAGCATGTGACCCAGTGAACATAACAGTCTGTGGTTGTTAATGTGCTGTGATGGAGTCAACAACAGTCATATGTATTACTTTCTGCCTGACTGCACGGGTCAAACAGTGACCGAGTGACACACAGAGCCCCGAGGCAGGGACGCAGACTGCTCATCTAGTTATTGGGGGGGTTGTTGGAGCCACACCCTTTCAATAAGCCAACACTAATAGTGTCTATGTTAACTGAACTTCACATTTTTCAATCTACAGCTAATATAACTATCGCTCGTTTTCATTATTGGTTGCTTCATTTAGGTAATCGCTGAAATGTGTTATTTTAATCTAGTGTGATCAAAAAGTGATGAATAATATGAATGTAGGTGTTGTGTTGTATTGACAAATTGTCCGATCAACTATATATAATTTCATAAGAGGAGGACAGGTGTGATGTGAAAGTTGTCGTGCAAGATTGGAGAAGGACCTTACTTTAACTTTCTGTGCAGCTCCATCGGGAGATGTGGCGTCTCCCTCTTGTCCACCGTAGTCTTCATCCTGTGATGCCGTTGGACATGCCTCGAAGTCTGTGTGGCCTAAATCGTGCAGGTACTGGAAAAGAGGGGAGTTCTGCAAAGAAGGAGAGAGAGATTGAGCCATAGTGGAAGAACGATGGATGAATGAGAAGAGCAGGAGACGGATGAAATAGTGCCACATGAATGCTGAGGAGGGAGATTGACGTGGAGTGAATTTGACCCTCATGTACTAGTTTTTTTTTTCACTGACGGTGTCCGATAGGTGAGGAAAAGTATTCGTCAAGCTGGTCTACTTTCAGTACCTCTCTCTCTCTCCGGCACACAGCTTACTTTTCTGCTCTGGGTTGGAACGCTGCAAAGCCAAAGTGTCTTCACATGTGAATCTGTAAGTCATCATACACTCATGCAGATGCCAGCGCTGTCTTTTGAGCCTCCATACCTCCAACTGAGACTTTCTGAGATTCTTCCCTCCTGCATGGAAACTAAGACTGAAATGTAAGAGCAACACATCATGTAACAACCTAATCTTCTAATACACGACCCGTGCACTTTCTAACCCTGAACAAAGAAATCTCACATCTAAAAGCAGCCAAGGAAATAAGCACAAGAGGAGGAAAGGTATCAAAAGATGCTAGACCAGATCCAACAGATGCATGACCCACTTCTCCTCAGCTGCATTGAAAACAGATCCTCTTCTGTGTTGTGTTTTGGTGTCAGCTGCACAGTACTGCACAATATTTCATTAATTTAACTATTGCATCTTTGAATTCTGCATGTCTGGGTAGCAATTATCAAAGCATTTAATGTGCTACTCACATGCATTGTCACACGAAGTCGCAGCTCATGTTGTCACCACGCAGACAGATACAGCTCCGTGTGTGTGTGTGTGTGTGTGTGTGAAGGTGGGTTTCTTTTTGCAGAACCGACGCATTGGATCTGGTCATCCCCACCCCACCTTTAACTGCCAGTCTGATGAAACACCAGCAACAACAGCAGCCTAGCACCCAGCTCAGCCTCTCTTATGACTACAAAAGCTCCTTGGCAGACAAATACTCAGCAGCCAGCCAAATATGTGGATTTGTTTTGGTTTGTCAATTCATTGCAAAACAGCTGCCAATGAGAGGTTAGCACACTTACTAGCTTGCTAAGCTATATTTGCACGCTAGCTGTCGTTAAAGAACCCACCTCAGGGGTCGCAAGGTATGACAAAGCATCAGTTGCAAGTTTCGCTAACAAGCAGCGACGTTAATCACGAACCTCAAACACCACATCTTCGTCAAACTCCTCAGTCATCGCTCTCCGCCATCTGTACACAGCCCGTTTTGCATTCTGAAAATTGTAGGCGACAATAGTGACGAACAGCCGCTGAGAAGTTGGTAGTTAGCCGGCTGCTAAAACTTCGTTTGAAACTACGTTACCCACAATGCATCATCCTGCCACTTCCTCGCGAGTAACGGACACGTTCTGAGGGCTCGACAGCGCTTCGAGTGGTCGCGAGAGGCTGCGGCCCAGCCGTTGGGAATGCTCGGCAGGGATTCGTAAAGCAACCGAAAATATACCGCATTGCACCGGAAAAAGATTTTCAAAATAAAATCTTTTTAAGCCTCTAACAACTTGTCGTGGGTGGAATTTGCAGAGTAACACTTGTAATCGCAGTTAAATGTTTTGATTAATTAAAACGGATATAAATTCATTTGTATTGTACGAATTACTTTTTTTATTCTTGTGTTATTTATGTACTGCCACATGTTTTATTTTTGGGGAGGGTTGTTTTATGTCATACTTTTGTTACATTCATATACATATACTGTACAAGTCCTGATAAATGTGAAATTCATTAAAAAAATCTGTTTATAAAAATTTATAAAAAAATAAAGATTTTCAACAGCTGAACATAATTATTTTTTTGTTTTTTATTTTTTTTTTACCTTCAACCGGAAGTGCGTCGTTACATTGCAATGTAACTTGACAATGTTGGGAAAAAGCACCGTGGCTGAAAACTTCGGGAAAAATGGAAAAAGTATCTGGCGTAAAAGCTTTATCCGTGCATCCGCCTACAAGATAAGGAACAAAAAGGCGATGGATCTGCATTTTGTCACCCTGGAGTTGTTTTAACTGACAATGGTGTCGACGGAGAGAAAAACGCCAATTTTCTCGCAATTCCATTGAAAGTATTATTTACCCCAATGGAGAAAGGAGCCAGTCGGGAGTCATGAGCACAGGTTTGTTTCGTGTGGGAGCTAACTTAACTTAGCAAACTCCTGCTATGCAAGCTTCTTATGTGGTTATCTGAAAACTTTTAATCAAATAAATTAATCCGTTTCTTACCTGAGACAGAGAAATGCGCAGATTCTGTGTTATAACGGAGGGTGGCATCCACTCTGTTCTTTTCTCCCTCAGCCACAGTTAATTACAGTTTTTCTTAATAATAACAACTTTTTAAAATGATATTAAAGAGAACATTGTTTCATTTTTGCTGCTTTCTACAAAACCCTCCACAACGCACATTTAAAAAAACTTTCCATTCGGGATTAAAATCAAAGCTGCTGTTGCATCTGTAGGGGTTAAATCCTTTGTCTTAAAACATCTGTCCTGCTGTTGATGCAACAAGTCGGACAACACGCTACACTCTTAACATCTCGTATTGAAACATTAACATGAGGCTGGATGTGTAGAGGTGCACTCGTTTTAATAAACTGAACATGTGTCATGGAGTTCAATGTTTGATCTCTTAAGGACAAAAGCGGTTTCACTTCAGATACCTGGCGCTCCGTGCTGCAGCGAAAACATAAGGCCAGATTCCGCTCACAGATCCGGCAGATTAATGCAACTTTTGTTACTTGCTTTCTAACTCTTATATCCATGAGTAGAAAGTTTATTAGCTCGCTTGAATGTCATCGGAAGCATGCACTGGCAAATTCGGCTCATAGATAAACCACAAAGTCGCAGATGAATACAGATATAAGATGGACTTTTCCTACCCATCACCGCCATACCATGGGGGCACTTTGGTAGACATCTAGTGGGACCACTTCGTAAAGTTAGATTTTTCAAATATGATACATATGCCGATTTGACAACGGGACTTCTTATTATAAGTATAGTGTGTTAACTTTCCCCTTAATGTTTGTTTTTGTTGTTTTAAGGTCCCGTTTCGTTAAATTCAGTGATATTTGAACGGAGTTTGGCGTGAGGCTCCGTCTGCAAAGGCAGAGCAGCGTGCAGGGGGGCTGCTGAGCGGTTTGTTGGTCGCTGGTCTTTTCGGAAACATCCGCTCGATGACTCCACTTCTCGTGGTGTCCGCCTGCCAAGAATTTCAGCGAGTAGAGCGGAAAATGTGGCCAATAATCTTAATTCACAACTTTTTATTAGAGTAGGGACTGTGTATTTTTATTTTTTTACTTTGTGTTGCCAGGTTAATTCATGTGGCATTTGGTTTTTTCTGACCATATTTGTATATAATAGTAAATATTTCCGTTCCATAGGGGGAGAAAAGCATAAAATACTGTACACTATCCTTCTCTGTAACTCAGTTATAACAACACATCTTGGCTCAGACTGTAAAAAAAAGAAGCAGACAAAAGCAGAAGTATATATATATTTTATATTGGTCGTTGGTTTGTTGCCACAATATAATTTAGACATGAGACATGCAAAGCTCTCTAAAGAACAGGAAACAGTACAAATACAACTGTTGATTTCAGGGAAATGATCCTGATTTCCTGAATGTTTTTCTGACACAAGTGGCTATATTACCACATCAGTGTTTATTTAATCAGATGTTTACTGGATGAGAAGTTGTGGAGCGTTTAGTAAATGCATATATCCTTAAGTTTGATCCCTCCATCACTTCAGTCCTCAGTTCTCCCCCTCTGACCCTAAGATTGATCTTTTGACCTGAGGTTTAACCAAAGCTTGCAGCTGTTGGTGTTGGAGGAGGAGGTGATGATGAAGCATGCTTTTCTTCGCTGTTCTGGTTGCATCATTCAAATGGAAGTGCGAGTAAACTATTTTTGCCTTTTTTTTTCTTCTTCTTTCTTGTCTGCAGGTGTGAAGAAGCCTCCATTAGCTCCCAAACCTAAACTCCCCGCTTCCACCAAACCCTCTCCCCCGCCCATCGCCCCAAAACCAGGTCTTCTCTCCCAGTCTTCTTCTGCTGTCTCCCAGCCTTCCCCTTCCACTCTCAAGAGAACTAAGCCGGCTGTCGCCCCTAAACCGTGCATTCCAAAATCCTCCACCTCGTCTCCCCCTGTTTCACCCCCGCCACCCAAACCCGGTGAAGCCCTTCTCCTATCTCAGGAACAACAGGAAACTTTGGGAGACAGCCTCTCGCTTCTCAACTCCAAAAATGGGATTTTATCAGAGGAGAACGAACGACAGTCGGATTACATCTTTCCCACTTGCTCCTGTGGGCACAAGGACGATTCTCAGTCCGGGCATCTGGAGAACGGAACTACATCTGAGAATGGGAGCGATTCGCACAAAGAGGTGTTGCAGAATGGGATTTCTTCAGAAGGACTCCCGGGGGCGAGGACGCAAGAGCAGGCAGAAAACTGGGAAGAGGATGGAGCTTTAGAGGAGAAGATTGAAAGTGGAGATAGGAGCAAAAAGCCCAGGGATAAACCTCAAAGACAAAGACACCTGGACAGGAGTTTGGTAACCAAAGAGGCACAGAGGACTGAGGAGCAGAAGGAGCACACCTCAGAGACTGTTCAACATCAGGAAAGTGCTGCTGCTGAGCCTGATGTTTCAAAAGCGGAGGTACACAATGAGACACAAAGCACACCTTTGACAAACTCTAATTCAGCCTGTGATGTTGCAGGCAGCATCACATTCCTCTCTACTCCTCCTGAGTTGACTGAAGAGTATTTTCAGACAGAGCACAGGGAGCCTCCCACCAGGTTACAGCCTGATCTGCAAGTCCCTGCAGCCCCCAGTAAGCCCCTTCCGGTCCCTCAGCCGCGTAGACTTAAGAAGCCGGCCCTGGTGAGGCAGGATGGCTTGGAGGGCGGCGCCCAGGATCACCTGGTGGATGAGGTGCAGGGGGCTGAGGGGAGTCTAGCTGGTCTGTCTCTCGGTTCAGCGGAGCTACAGCGGCGCTCATGTGAGGACCTTTTACACCAAAAAGACTCCGGTGTGGGAGATGATGAAATCAACGCTCCTGTCCCCCCACCTCGTCAGACCTCGCTCTCTCCTCGCCTCCACAGGACAGTCCACCTGCCTCCCTTCTCTCTTAATAAAAACACCTCCCACTCCTTAGGTCTGCTCTCACACCCCGACCCGGTGAGCCACGCTAAGGACTGCGTGGATGAGGAAGAGGAGGACGGGTACGGGGACTTTGAGCGCTACCCGATCACGCACAGCCTCCCCAAGCAGATCAAACTGGGCTGTCACCCTCCGCTGGTTATCGCCAGGAAAGCCTTCTCCGCCGACGACCAGCAGTCGCCGAGAGCGCCGCCGAGAAAACCTCAGAGACACAGCCTGCCGGCCCCGACTCCGCCTTCCATCTGCCCCCCTGCGCCCCCGCATGCCAACACCCCCATGAGGGCGTTACCTGCGCCTCCCCAGGAGAAGACAGCGTGGCGTTTCACCCGACCCTGCGTCACCTTCTTCAGCCGGCAGATACCTTCCCGGAGCAGCGTGCCGCCAAAAGGCAGAGCCCCGGCGCTGGGGGGCAAGCAGAGGGCGCAGTCCTTCTCCGCAGCAGACCTGGCAACCCGGGCCGACTCTCACAAGAGGAGCCTTTCTTTCCGGAAACTGCTGGAGCTCCGGCTGTCAGTCAAGATGCTGCCCAAGCTGCTCGCCAAGGGAGGACAGTCCCTGGACTGTACCAGCATGGAGTCGAACCGGGGGGAGAAGAGCCAGGAGCGGCCCAGGAGCTGCATAGGGGAGTCCGATGTCTGCGGAGAGGACGGGGACGGGTCAGTGGAGTACGAGAACGTCCCTCTGTACGAGGAGATCCCGGAGTACATGAACCTGCCGTTTCACAGCGGGAGGCTGGGCTGGCCTCATGACTCTGATGATTCAGACATCTATGAAGTACAGGATCCCTATCACAGATACCAGGACCATGAGTATGAGAGGTAACGCCATTATGCATATTTAGTAGTTTATGCACTTTGTGTGGTAGAGAGATGTCAAGCTTCAACAGAAAGGAGAGAAGCCAGAAAAAGGGCGATCCAATTGTATGGATACACATTTAATAAAAAACTAATATCAATGTTGCTTTATGGCCGAGTGCAATATCCAAATCAGAGCATGAGGAATATCTTCATAGAGGTATAAGAAGTGAAACAAAACAGCATTTTAATCTGGTATTAATCGGCCAGTGAGATCAAGGTGTCGATCTTTTGAGATAGAATAAAAAAAAAAAGGCTGCACTTCTTTGAATAGCATTCATCAAAGAAAGTTCAAGTTCAAGAAAAAAAAGACGTTGTACTGCTGCAGACAATGGCTCCTTCTGTTTATGGGAGAACAAGACTGTGAAAGTAGACGTCGACCTGCTGTCTAACACTTAACCCCTCGGCTGCTGCCCTGTAATTTCAGGTGAGCTGTGGCTTCACTGTGTGCGACAGGTTGCCCAGGTGACTTTAGTGGTTTGTGTTTACGAGCGTGTGAAAGTCTGTGAGCCACTAGGCGCTGAGTTTGAATAGAGCATTGATGTGCTGCAGGTCGGGCCTGTTTTCCTGTGGGTTATTTTCAGTGGCCAGGGCAGGAAATGTCTGAGAATCGCAGAAAACGCCACACGGCTCTCTAGAACAGGGAAAATAAACCTCCAGCAACCACCGGCCTCCTCCTCCTGAGGCTGTCCGCCCTCGCACTGTGCTTAGCCTCTTCTTAACCCTCATCACTCCACTTTTCTCCTCTCTGTGTGTGTCTCTCACTGAGTTTTGTTTTTTAACCTGGTCGAGGAACAGAAGAGGGCTGTTTATAGAAAAGGAGGACGAAGTCGCCCGGCGGTTTCTGAAGAGGAGTTTTGAACAGTGGCTGTCTCCATGTTGGACATCCTCTGTTCACCTAACTTTCAGTCAATCTAGTAAAGACACAGAGAGGTAGTGCTAGGGTGGTAAACAGTTACAATGCTACCACCTGTCAGTCAACCAAGCCCCGCCCCAATTATGCATATTTATGAAGAACTCTTGACTTGATAAAAATCAAACAGATAACTATGTAAAGACATACGCTATTGTTTTTGTACCAGGGTGTAAACTACACATGTTTATTTCTGGAATCAGTGATTCCTTTGCTTTTACAGCCAGCCTCAAGTGGACACTCTGGGAACTGCAGTCTTTTGCACTTCTCCATTGGCTTCAACTTGAAACACCAGAGGTTACCGCTTAGTCACAAATCCAGTTGCTATGACATTTGTCCTGGATAATGACTCTTAATTGGTTATTAATTAACTTGCTAATCTCATCAGCACGGGTTGGTTGAACTGGGGACGCAGCCAACAAAATGTCTCTGTTGCTGAGTCACATCCATCCCATTAAGATCCTGTTGAGTTACTGTGTTATTGATAGTAGGCTCAGACTGTTTGTCATGAGGATTTGTTTGGGTGATAGATGATTCCTCTGTCGGGCCATCGCTGAGCACAATCAGTGATGAAGTCGAGGCCAAGTTAGGTGACTGCGAGGTGTGAAATCA